ACAGACCCCCTCCCACCGTGTGATTTGGAAGACAAAAGAATGTTTTCCTATAAGATAAGACTTGGAAGAAGATCACACCTATACCATGACTGAGATTGTTTTCGTGTGGAAATGACCAATCAAAGACTAATATAATGCTTATGCTGTTGTCACATGACTTTCGCATTATTTTGCATATATAAGCTCACTTTCTCATTATAATAAACTAGAAGTGTTCATAGACTGAACTTGTGTGTCAGCGTGAGTCTCTTCCAGTGTGCACACATTCCAAAGCTAGCATCATAAATTAGGACAGGAACAGATAAGCACTGGACGATTCAATCCTTGACTAAATCACAGATATGGTGGTATTTCCATAAAGTTAAAATGTGTCGCAAATAGGAACTATTTGAATTTGTCACGTTGGTGCTATCAATAAAAATGTTGCAGGTTTTCGTGGGTTTAATGCAAAGCTTTGGACTAGATACACACCACCAAAAAATGTGCTGCAAATGCTTATTGAAAAACCACCAGTGTGTGTATATAGGTTTCCTTTTCTAGAGCCATTAAAATAATCATTACATTTTAAGTCATCACTGTAAGTTCACATTAGAAAGACAATATGCAGATTCTGAATGTAAATATAAATAATTTATTGAGCACACATAAAAAAGGAACATGCTGACGTTATTGTTATAAATGAAGAAGCACTTTAGCATTACCACAGTCTAAAATCAACCATTTGACCAGTTTAAATAAAATTTTTCAGAAGACTTGCTGCACAGACCAGATGTGCAAAGAGTAAAACTAAGCAACATACTTCAACAACCATATTTCCATTTGACTTCAAAATGCCAAGCTCAATTTAATAACATGATCTGCACAGCAATGATGTTCCACAAACAGAGCTAAATAAATGTTTATTAGACTGGTCAACTGCAATGGCATTATTAGGTCAAATGTATGACGTAACGGTTCAACTGAGTTGTACTGTATAGACTTTAAAGAGATTTATGGATGCATGTCTTCATTTTCCGGTGATTAAACGATTCAATTTATTTGACGACTAGAAATTCTTACATTGCCACCATGCGGTAACCTTCAATAAAAATATATTAAAACAGAGTGACAAGAAGTTTCAAGCAGCAAAATGATTGTTTGCAGAGACTTAATTCACATTGTGTATTCCTTTTTCTAGATTTCTGAGTCCGTGTGAACGGTCAATGCATCAAGATATGAGCATCATATGTGACTACAAGATCTTAGTATCCCTTACATCAAAGGTTCTCAACCTGGGGTCCATGGACCCCTGAGAGGTCAGTGAATGGCTTTCAGAGGGTCCGTGAGGGTAAGATAAAAAAATAACACTTTCATTATACAGTCATCCCAATCAATGGTTTTCCATTGAGAGAAATTAAAGAAACCGCACCCTGCCACTGCTTATAGGGCCAACTGCTAAACATCTCTTGAATCAATGTTGGCCCATGTTTACCATTTAAATTTGTTTCATTCTCTGCACAACTGACATCTTGCGCCACACCATAATTGCAAGTGTTAATTCTCATTTTCTAGTAGTAGTAGTAGATTTGAGCAGAATTTCATTTTTGTAATGAGCAGCCATCATTTTTTTCCTTGAAAAGGAGTATGGTTTTTTTATTTTTGTTAAAAATGTTCACTTTATTAAACTTTGTGTATTTCATATATGTATGAGGCAAACAAACTCCAATTAACACAAGGTACACATATTCATTGCTTGCACAGTTGTGTTTATGTGAATATTTCTAGGGAAGGGTCTGTGACTCAAAACAGGTTAAGAACCACTGCTCTAAGTGATCACAGAATGCCATGATCTGCAAGGACACTATACCAGGGTGCTTATTATTATGTGCGTAATGAAAAGATCTATTAGAAAGGGGAATCATATACAGTAGTAATGGTCAGAAAAGATTTTCCAGTGTGCTGGGGAAGCTATTTGACCAACCTTGAGATTGCTCTTTGGTATAGGCTATGCAGCGGTCAGACATTTCTACAGTAATGGCAAAAAATATTGGCAGCCCTGCATTTCTGTTGGATAATGCACCACTTCGCCCTGAAAATTCTTTCAATTACAAATGTTTAGGTATTCTTATGTTTATTTCTTTTGTTTGTATTGGTATGACACAAAAAAGTGCAGAAACAAAAAGCCAAATCTGACATATTCCACACAAAACTGAGCTAGACAAAATGATTGGCACCTTCTCAAAATTGTATGAAATAATTGCATTCCAAGTTTGTGATGCTCCTGTGATTTGTAATGAAACTCACCTGTATCAATTAACAGGTGCTGACAACATAGAAATCACACCAGCAACCAGTTAAAATGGTGCAAAATTGACTCAACCTTTATGTGGTGTGTCTCTGTGTGCCACATGGAGCATGGAGAAGAGAAAGAACAGCAAAGAATTGTCTGAGGATTTGAGAACAAAAATTGTGGAAAAGTATGGACAATCTCAAGGTTACAAGTCTATCTATAGAGATCTTAATGTTCCTGTATCCACTGTGCACAACACTGTCAAGAAGTTTACAGCCCATGGCACTGTAATTAATCTCCCTGGACATGGGCGAAGGAGAAAAATTGATCAAGATTGCAACAAAGGATTTTTTGAATGGTGGCTAAAGAACCTTGATCAACTTCCAGAGAAATTCAAACTGAGCTCTAGGCACAGGGTACAACTGTGTCAGCTTGCACTATACGTCACCATCTGAATGAAAAGGGACGCTATGGTAGGAGACCCAGGGGGACCCTACTGCTAACACAGAAACATAAAAAAGCCAGATTGGAGTTCAAAACTTGCCTGAAGAAGCCAAAACTACTTTTGGGAGAATGTGCTGTGGACAGACGAAACAAAATTACAGCTTTTTGGTAAAGCACATCATTCTACTGTTTTCAGAAAAAGCAATGAGGCCTTTAAAGAAAAAGAATACAGTCCCTACAGTCAAACATGGTGGAGGTTCACTGATGTTTTGGGGCTGCTTTGCTGCTTCAGGCACTGGAGGTCTTTACCGTGTGCATGGCATTATGAAATTTGAAGACTACCAAAGAATTCTGGGGTGCAATGTAGGGCCAAGTGGTAGAATGTTGGGTCTCCGTCAGAGGTCATGGGTCTTACAGCAGGACAATGACCCAAAGCACTCTCCAAAAAGCACGCAGACATGGTTTCAGACAAAGCACTGGAGAGTACTGAACTGATCAGCAATGAGTCCAGATCTCAATCTCATAGAGCACCTCTGGAGAGATCTCAAAACAGCAGTTGGGAAAAGGAACCCTTCCAATCTAAGAGACCTGGGGCAGGTGAAAGAAGAATGGTCCAAAATTCCAGTAGAGAGTTGTAAAAATCTCATTGATGGTTACAGGGAGCAACTAATTTCAGTTATTTTTTCCAAGGGGCATACTACCAAATATTTAATTGAGGGTGCCAATAATTTTGTCCAGTCCATTTTTAGGGTTTTGCGTGGAATGTGTCAGATTTTTGTTGATCTACTTTTTTGTGTCATACCAATACAAACAAAAGAAATAAACATGAGAATGCCTAAACATTTGTGATTTGCAAAAATGTTCTGGGCAAATTGGTGCATTATCTGACAAAAATGCAGGGGTGCCAATATTTTTGGCCATGACTGTTTATCCTAAATGTTATGTATTCACTAATATATAAAAAGGAAGCATGTGGCCTTGATGTAAAAACCCAGTTCTAGAAGGCTGGAATTTGGACAAGTCCCCATCCTAAATGCTCACGCTGCCTTCGGTGTTAGAAGTTTCATTATTAAGGTTACTAGGGCAGAGAAGAATTTCAGCACACATGAGCAGAGAAGAATTTTAGCACACATGAGCAGAGAAGAAATCACTGGAGGAACTCCATGACATTATTTTCATATTGGCTTACAAAAACAGGTCCAGAATATAGGCAGCTGTTATCTGCCCTAACATGATAACATCTAAGCAATTTTTGGTGGACCTAGCTTTTCAGATACTAAACATGGTTATAAATGGCTCCAAGATTGTAAGCTCCGAGGAGCAGGGCCCTCCTATCCCTCTTGTATTGAACTGTGTATTGTTGCTGTATTGTCTCCCTTTACATTGTAAAGCGCTGAGCAAACTGTTGGCGCTATATAAATCCTGTATAATAATAATAAAGGATCTTAAAAGTTCTGTAAGATATGTTAGTGTGTGATAAAATAAGTAGAATACACTTCAAAGAAAGCAAACGTACAGTGACAGCTAATGTGTTGCACCGATAAGAATCTCATCAAATAAATATTCTACTCTCACAGCATACATTCATGTTTTACACACAGCAGACAATTTCATGTTAAAGTAAAAACTATTAAAATCAAAGCTAACAGCTGAATTGCCATTGAATACTTGTGTGATGTTTTGTAAAAAAAAGAAAATGCACAGCAGCATTCCATTTTGCTTAGGACGATTGTAGCCATATTCGTGCGCTTGCTACAATACAGATGAGTACTGTCCATGATACGTATTTAATGTGACAGTTACATTTTCAAAACAAGCTTTTAGGGTACACACTCTTCTCTAAGAAACCAGCAGTACAATCCTTGGATCTTAGCCAGAAGGAGGTACATCCCAAAAGCTTGTCCTGACATTTTAACTGTTAGTGCAGATTAGAAATGTATCACAAATCGTAATCAATTGTGTCAATTCTATTTAAAACAGTTGCTAAATCAAGCAGCAGGAGGTTTGTGCACAGGGTTAAAATAAAATCACTGTAAAATTAAGTATACATGATCGCTTAAGAGGTCCTTGTGTTTGCATTGCACTGCTCTTTTCACTTTTTTTCCTCGAGCATGGTGTAAAGCATCTTCAAGGGACACAGTGCTCAGGAGCGAATGCTGAGGAGGCCCTCTTAGCAGTCATCTACATTTGCCTTCATTTTTATTAAATTAAACTCCTATAATCTGACAATAAATATAACACACAAGTACAAAAAAGAATAGAAACCACTTTTGCAAGACTTTCCAGTCTACCAATCTCTTTCATGAGGTTCTCTAAAAGGAAGCCCAAGGATTTCAAATACATGGCTCTCAGTTGGCGTTGGCAAAGGATGGCCAGCATTAACCTTCACACTGCCATTGCGCACTACGTCTTTGTTTATGGAGTGCTCAGACAGACTCATCCCTTTTGTCTTGGCCAGAGCACGCATGGAACGGTTAAAATGTGCTGAGCCAGTAAAATACATCAGTGCACATGCAAACTCTGAATATGGCACAACTATGATATCAAGTCTCCGATGCTTCTGCCCTGGTCCTGGCAGGCGGCATACCCCCATGTACTTTTTCTGGCTTCCATTTTCTTCATGACTCACCAAATCATCAGTAAGGAATCCTGAGAGGGTCAAGCAAAAAGAGGCCAGAGGAAAAAACATTAAACTTAAATTGCCAAGTGATAATAACATTCTAGTTAAACATGAAATAATTTTCTTTGAAAATAAACCCGTCTTAAGAAATTCATACCAAAGTGTTATGCATGCATACTGTATGTAGAGGTTACCCTTAGTGAAAACTATGTCAAAACGACAAACAGATCCAGAGATGTGCTGAAGGTCATTGGTCAACTTTGATATACAGTGCCTCAAGCATGGCCTCTGACACCACCAAGGGCTGCCCATACTATTCTGAGAAAGTACTACTACAGACATACATAAGGACATAGTCAGAGACTGCAGAAATTACATTGAGAGACAGAGACTGGGAACATGTTAGGTGACATCCATGAACTGGGGACATGTTTTAGAAGACGGTCATAGCCTAGTGACATGTTTTAGGAGACTCTCATAGACTGAGGACACATTACATGAGATGGATACAGATCACTGCTATTCCAGTCCCTTTACAAATCCATGCTTCCACATTCATGCTCTGTGGCAACCTACTTTATTGTGCCACAGCAAGATCCACTACAAAATATTAGAGGAAAAAATAAAAACATAAAAAGAAAAAAGTGGTGCACAGAACAGAAAGATGCGAGCTAGTATGAGAGAAATAAACCAAACCATTTAACTATTAGAACTGAATATAAAGAATATTGTTCCTTCACTGGTCTGAGTAAGCACCTAGATAAGAAAAAACACAGACTATAGCATCAATCACACAGGACGAAAAAACTTTAGTTTCACACATACACTATATGGCCAAAAGTATCGGGACACCCCTTGAAATCCTTGGATTCAGGTATTCAATCACCTCCATGGCCACAGGTGTATAAAATCAAGCACGTAGGCATGCAGACTGCTTCTACAAACATTTGTGAAAGAATGGGTCACTCTCAGGAGCTCAGTGAATTCAAGCATGCTGCCGTGATAGGTTGCCACCTGTGCAATAAGTCCATCCGTGAAATTTCCTTGCTACTAAATATTCCATGGTCAAATGTTAGTGGTAATATAACAGAGTAGAAGCAACTCAGCCACCAAGTGGTAGGCCATGTAAAATGACAGAGTGGATCAGCGCACTATTTGCCAACTGTCTGCAGAGTCAATAGCTAAAGACCTCCAAACTTCATGTGGCCTTCATATTAGCACAACAGTTCATAGAGAGCTTCATGGAATGGGTTTCCATGGCTGAGAAGCTGCATCCAAGCCTTACATTCCAAAGTGCAATGCAAACCGTTGGGTGCAATGGTGTAAATCACGCCACCACTGGATTCTAGAGCAGTGGAGTGATGAATCATGCTTCTCTGTCTGGCAATCCGATGGATGTGTCTGGGTTTGGGGAGAGGCCAGGAGATACGGTACTTGCCTGACTGCACTGTGCCAAGTGTAAAGTTTGGTGGAGGGGGATTATGGCGTGGGGCTGTTTTTCAGGGGTTGGGCTTGGCCCCTTAGTTCCAGTGAAGGGAACTCTTAAGGCGTCAGCATAACCAAGACATTTTGGACAATTTCATGCTCCCAACTTTGTGGGAACAGTTTGGGGATGGTCCCTTCCTTTTCCAACATGACTGCACACCAGTGCACAAAGCAAGGTCCATAAAGACATAGATGAGCGAATTTGGGGTGGAGGAACTTGAGAGTCCTGACCTCAAACCGATAGAACATCTTCAGAATGAATTATAATGGAGAGTGCGAGCCAGGCCTTCTCGTCCGACATCAGTGGCTGACCTCACAAATGCGTCAAACATTCCCATAGACACATTCCTAAACCTTGTGGACAGCCTTCCCAGAAGAGTGGAAGTTGTTGTAGCTGCCAACTCAAAATTGAACCCTACAAACTAAGACTGGGATGCCATTAAGGTTCATGTGCGTGTAAAGGCAGGCATCCCAATACTTTTGGCAATATAGTGTATCTGCTGGCCTGACATGCAGTTTTCAGTGCTGGCTCCCATATATGCGGATTGGATGCAGTTTGAACCGCATCCAATCTGCATGACATGTAAAACAACATTGCTTCTGTTGACATATGTCCAGTGCACTGGTAGTCGGATTCAGTGTGGATTGAAAAAGAGTCCTGTCCAATTTCTAAGCAGTGCGGTCCAGTTCAAGTGCGGATTACAGGCTTACTGACCTCTATGAGAACAGATTGTGAATCACACATGTCATGAGTTTGTGAACAGAATTTCAGGATAGTTTTATCGCTTCAGATCCTGACCTGAACCGGAGCGGAACAACTACTTTTCAATTCAAACTGAAACCGGAGCTGTCAAGCTGCACCGCACTGATGTGAATCAGCACTTAGTGAAGGCAGCAGGTTTACAAGAAAAAGACTGTAACATGGCCTACCTACTGACTTTCATCCCATATTTTACCTTGTGCCCTTTGGCTGCCACACTAACCAAATCCCAAAAGAAGTTTAATCCATACTTCTCTTTTAAATCCACTGATAAAAGCATTGTGTTAAATCTATTCGATAAGTTAAAAAACATCTGTTGATCCTTCCAGAAATCCCTTGCTGTCCTGTGTTTTGTGCATCTGCAGTCTTATCTAAGACAATGTCATCTGAAAGAGTGGTAGGACCCCCCTCCCCCATTTGGACAGGAGATAAGAGGGAGAAATGTTCTTCAGTCTTAACACACTTCCTCTCCCACAATGACAAAACACCTAGACACGCCGGGGCATATAAACAGGCCTTAAAAATTTTGAGAATGGATTTTTTTTAACGCAACAATATAAAACAGATGCAATGTAAACGTGTGCACAACAACATAAACGAAGCACAAATCAGAAGTGGGAACTCACTTTGTAGACGTGCTTCATTTATTCACTTTAGTGGCAGCAGTGTGCTGTGTTTGGCTTAGTCAACGAATGCTGCAGAATATCTAGACTAGCTAGTAAACCTGGAATTGGGGGATGTTATACTGACCTGTGGTGCTGTGGCTGATATCCCCATTTTAAGGACTCACTGGATGAGCTATATGAATTGTAGATTATGGACAAACCTTTGAGGAACCACCCGCTGTGATATACTAAACCGGACTTTATGTATACTAATATTTGCAGGTAGAGGGGAAACTTTTGTACTACCCAGCACCTGGTGCAATTACTTAGCTATACAATTGTTTTAATGGTTTTTAAAAAGATGTACAATAAAGAGATAGTATTAAGAGTATCTGGAATAGTTTATATTGATATATTACAGAATTATCTTGGTTAGACCTGTTTATTTAGTGCTGTGCCTCATTTAAAGTCCCATGGGCTAAATAAATTGTGCTGTGTAGTGTTGATATATGGAGGTACACCACTTTGTGCAACAGATTACAACCCATTCTTTTGTTGATTTATTCATGGTTAGGAGGAGAGAACAAGCCTGTGATCTGCATTGACAGTAAATGCTTTGTGCATTTGCAGTAACTTTACAAAGTTACGCTGACTTATAAACACAACTGGCTGAACCCACGTTAACGTTGTGATGCTGACAAATGTGTGTTGCATTAAAAAGTGTCATTAAACCCACAACATTAAAAACTATCAAATGCTGTATTACATGCTGTACATGCTCATTCATTATGGGATTTCTTTTCTGTATTCAGGTTGATCCAGCTGTTCACTGTCTCCCACTCCCTGTCCATGTCCCCATCACAGTTGAGGATTTTGCTGAGCAGTGTTGGCAGCTAGTGCACAAGCTCAGTTTCCAGTGTATTTTATATCCTGAGCATTTCCTCCCTATCACATCTGAGCAGCCCATGTAACTACAGAGTCACATATCTGGGTGTATACACAATGTTAAATGATAGCCTACACCCTCCCTGCTCCTCCGTCCCCACTAACAGCTAAGCACAATGGAGGTGGAATAGTACATCTTGATTGATGGAGGCTTAACCTCTGGTATTCGAAGACACAGGCTGGAGGGGCGTGACACAGAAATTTGCCATACCAAGTTATTTCCACAAATTAATAAAGATTTAATCTCAAGTATATTTGTATAACAATTTAAAACAGTTTATTGATAGTAAATATTTATTTTTACTATGTATCCTAAAGGCTGTCTTTTTTTTTTTTAGAACACGTGATCAGCAGCAGAGGACTAGAAGCTCCTCCTGCCACAGTTTCCCTGCAGACAATCTGGGATAGCTTGGTCATGTGACAGCTGTATATTGATGAAGAAAACGGAACTTAGATTTTTTTTTTTTTTTTAACACTGCAGTTTAAATCAAATAAACATTAGCTAAATATTAGCTGCAATATGTGCATCGAGACAGTCTTACATATTTCTTTAGAATGCAGCTACAGCCCAAGTAGAAAAGCTTGTCTTTCTGCCAGCATGTTGTGGAGAAGGACCCTTGCTCTCTGTGTCAGACCTACTGGAGTTCCATTTGTTAATTTTTCACCTGTCTATTGACGGATGAAAAACGGACAGCTATATATTCCTATGGGCAAATGAATGTAAACAGACTTTGTTTTTTTCTTCACTTCCGTTAAGGTCTGTTTTTCTTTTTTTTTAAGGAGCAAGTCTGCATTTTTGTTCCATTTAAAAAAGGGAAGCGGAAGAAAACAGATGCAAATGGGTGAAAAACGTATGTAAATGGAACAGATAAACAGAAGATGGATAAACTGAAGCCTTTTTTTCTTAGCAAAAACGTGACTGAGCAGATGACGCCGATATCTCTGCAATCAGCAAAGGACATGACTCCTGCTGACTGGAGACCTGCAAGGGCATGTCAGAACTTGGCAGACAGACCACTGCTTCCACACAGAGAGCAAGGGTCATTCTGTGCAGCATGCTGCTGCCACGGGGCAGGCTTTTCTACTCAGGCTTTCTAAACAAAAACAAAATGAACTGCAGCTTTATATTAAAGTGCTATTAAACCCAGGACCCTGCATTCACTATATCTGGTCTCCCACAGTACAAACAACATGGAAGTGCAATTATTGTAGTAAATATAAACCTTTTATCATCAGCAGTTAGAGCAGTTTTGTGGCTTCTATCAGTTTTCAGCCAAGCACTAGCTAAAGCTTGTAGGAGGAGTTTTCTTTCTGCTCTAGGAGGATGCAGAACCCCTGACCTCTGTCTTCCTAGTGCTGATTGGCCCTGTGCTGATCACATGCATTCTCCCAAGAAAACAAAAACCTCTCTAGCAATACACACCAAACTGAGCAAAAATGACTGTGCAAAATGACTACGGTTCAGTCTGTCTTTTCAGGAGATAAGAGGTGGTCACTTGAAAAAGGGGAGACACAGATGAAAGGATCACACGGCTTTTTTAGGTTCCACAGTGAGTATAATAAGCATGCTTTACTGCATATACTGTACAGGCTGATTTTATGTTGTGGGTTTAGTAACACTTTAACACTGGCACTCCTGCATTTAGCCATACAAAATGCAGGAGAATTGATTTGAGAAGTATAAACAGCTTTTATGTCTCTCTTTTTCCTACATTTAACTGATCCTGCTTTAACTGCATTTATTCACATTTACATGTGTTTAGCCAAGTTTAGAGTGTCTAATTGGATCCTGAACACATAGAATTCTATTTTCTCTGAATACAGCTAAACTAACTGCAAATAAACAGATGTAAATGCTCAGTGTGAAAAGCACCATTAAAAAATCATTACATGCATTGATATGTTTTCAGAAATGTCCTTTAAATGCAGGTTTGACACTGCCAGTGTGAATGAGGCCTAAAGTCCCATGCACACTGGGAGTTTAACCTCAATGCAGGGAGTTCCAGCATTTAGACATGGGTGGACAGTACAGGTGCGCCATCTAGTCTTGCTGCCAGCAGCCTGTCAAACTCTATGAGAGTCTGACAGCTAGTGCAGCTAGACAGGGCAGTCTGCATTTCAGGCATCCGTCCCTGGGAACATACTGCTTGACAGGCTGCTGGCAGTGGGGCTGGAAAGCAAAGCTCTTCCCTTCACCTGAGGCTAAGACCAGGTTCACACCTGTGCTTTTTTTACGAATTTTGCATTTTGCAGGAATGCAATGCATGCTTTTTTTCATGATTTCATATGGATCACATTCACATCTATGTGTTTTCTGCGAGCACATTTTTGGAAAGGATCAGGGACTTCTTTTCCTGCAGCAGTTTGCGTTTTTAGTCCAATACATTTCAATGGAACCGCATCTAAAATGCAAGTGCTGCATTTTGCTTGCATATTTTATGTGTTTTACATTTTTTAATCTGCCCAGCAACAAGTTGGCCCAAAAAAAAAAAAAAATAAAAGGCAAAACGCATCGAAAATGCGTAAAAAACGCACAGCTAAAAGCACTCCAGAAACGGACCAAGTGCAAACTGCATAGGTGTGAACCTGGCCTAAACCCCATTCACTGAGGCTAAACGTCCAATGTGAATGGGCCCTTAAATTGAAAGTTCGGTTGGCCCAAAAGTAAAACTAAAGCCAAAACTTTTTTAAAATTTAGATTTCAGAGGGATTAGAACACTGATAAGGTGTTTATTGTTATCTGTGTCCCTGGTAAAGAGATTTACCCTATTTGTCTTGGTTACCATTATTACAAAAAGGGAAAGAAAATCCCAAACTTTGCATGGTCACCAGAAGAGAATAGAAGGGAAATCATCCAACGAGGACACTAGTTCTAGTGACTACCAGGGATGTCCCTCACTATTGATGCCTTTCCTCACACTTCTGTTGTGGCTATGGAACAGGAAGTGTAGGGAAATTTCCTCAATGAGACACAGATAGGACAAAAAAAAAAACTGACAGGGGTTATAGCTCTCTCTCACTCTTTCCAAAATTAAAAAAGTGTTGCCTTCAGGTTTCACTTTAAAATGGTAGTAAAGTCTTGCGGAGACAAATGCAGCTCCAGACACTGTGGTGGATTCCAACTTTGAAGTTGGGATCTTTCCCTAGCCTGGAATGGCTGGGTGACGTCAGCTGGCAGTGGGCTTCAGAAAACTGAATGAATTGCACTCCTGTGATCCACAGGAGATGTACAGCCAAAAGAGCTTTGGCTGTACTTCTGCTTTAAGTAGAAGCCTTTCTAAATGCTGCTCCTAGACCAGGGACAGGGATCATAGCAGGGTCACAATTAAAGTGTATGTTCAGCCAAAATGTTTGTGAGGGAAAGGGTTACATCCCCATTTGAGCTTTTACTGCTATTTAGGGGCTTAATTAGAGAAGTTTTACCTCACTTTCTGCCCTGCTGACAATTTCAACAGACAGCAGGGGAAATCTCCAACAGCAAAAGGAGCAAGAGGATTTTTGCACTTTTCTTGGAATCCATTGAGGGTCACAGGGCTCATCCTTCTTTGCTTATGAATGTGCTCTTGGTACTGCTTTGCTACAAAACTGAACCATGCTGGGAGTGTGAGGGGTTATAATCAGGTAGTCAATATTTTTTTTTTTGTTTGTCGGTGTTCAATCCTCCTCAGAAGGTGCATGACTTCCTGTGTCCGTCAATGGAAGAAAAGTATGCTATTTTGTCTTTCTCATCCATTTAGGGACGCAGCAAGTCATTCACCTTTGTGGCATCCAAAAACAGTGCAACTGAGGGGTAGGCAACACAAAACAAACCAAGGAACAACAGAGAACTAAGGACTGCCTACAGCTCAAAGAGCTGCCAGGAAGACCTTACCTTGCAGAGCTGGCATCAGATGAGGCCACAACCTCCCAGTGGTAGAAAGAATTGTGAGAATAGCAGACCACCTCTGAGGGATGATGTTGCATTGCTTTGTTCCAACCAATGCATTTTGCCATCCAGGACATCATCCGGAGCAGTCCAGTCAGGCTGACTTCTGATGAGAGGATCTTCCAGAAGGATAGGCCTATCCAATTCCAGAGCTGGAAGACACCATACCAGGAACTACCTGACCCCAAAAGGAGCAAAGATAGCTCTGCTAATTTGTGTGGTGACAAAGGAAGAATGAAAGTGAGGAGCTGACGAGAGAGCTGGAGCTGAAGGTTCCATTTATATCCCTGGATTATCACTCTGTATTTAAGCACCTAAGAGGCAATTGATGCAGTTTTGCAAAGTGGATGCAAGGCTTTTCTGAAGGTTTAGCAGGCTACTTACCGTAGACGAGAGAACCAAGTTTTGGAGGCCTAGACGTTAATACTCCAGGAGTAAAGAAACAAGAGGGAAGAGACTTGGCAGGTTTTTCCTTAGGTTTTTCACAGATGGGTACTCTTGCCTCCACTAACAAATCATTAATAACATCAAGGTTTGGTCTTAAGGGACATTGGTCCTCAAAGACCATGCAGGTCAAGTGCTCCATGAATGCAGGGTTCACTGGAGACCAGAACTTTAACCAGAGTGCCTTGTGCATGTGCATTAACAAAAAAACCAACATAGGAGATAAGAAGAGAGAGTTGCAGCAGGCTATCACAGCTGAAGCATAAAGCTCCATCCATCTACTCTACATAGTTGATATCAGTGAGGAATCCACTGCTGTAGTAGAGAGATCAAGTTAAGGTCACAGCAGAATGGGTTAGAGGACAGGGCCCGTGCGGAGCTTTAAAAAAGGGATTTTACCTACTGATCAGTAGGATCTTTGTATGCAGGAACTCCCTCCACTGCCCTGGTGGTTTCCTTGGTCACTGGAAGATACAAAGTAGGTGTAGACCACTGTTTCACAAAATCCTTTCCAAATGGGAACAAGCCTAGTAAGCATCTGGGGGTGCTAAGGGCATGTCAGGGTGATTCCAATGCCCACAGAAGAAGCTCTTGCAGAGCAGGTGTAAAGCATATATCTTTGCAGCTGCAGTGGCTGGAGATAGTAGGCTGATTCTCGAGCCCCAGGGTAGTGCACATAGCATCAAAAGAAGCTGAAACAGTCTCCTTTAATTCAGGAGTAATATAAAAAAACTGAGCTTCCTCAAGAATAATCTTGTCCTGTAGAGATTGGGGCAGTTCAGAATCATAATCAGAAATAGTTACTGTGACCAACAGGTCAGAAGCCGCTAGGGCTGTGGGCAAATCAGCTATACAATTTAGAAGTAAAGCCACAGGAACACATTTAAAATCTCTGTGGTGCCAGAAGCTGGGTAAATTGGGCCTCAAAGCCTTATAGTTGAGACCCTGGTCAAAAAGGCAGGGGTCGGAGTCTTGGTCTCGTCCAGCAGAGCTAGGAAAGACTTTGATGATGAGCAAGACTCTATAATCACAGGAGAACAAAATTCCAGGTTACTGATGCCGGCATCTTCAAAGGGCACAGAACAATCGCTCCCGTAACTATTAGTGGAGTGTAAGCTGGGGTCACCCGTTGCAGGGGGATCATCCCTTTTGTGTCTAGAAACAGAGATGTTGTGACCATATGGTGGTAAGGCAACTTAAGCTCAGAGTATGAAACAGGGCCTCAGGTACTCAGAACACCCACACAGCTGGTAAGGGTCAGACGGCCAGAAGTCACCAAAAATAACTGCAGGTAGGCAGTAGTAACAAACTAAAGTTTGGGGTTCCACATGTTGCATTGAAGAAGCAGCAGTGGACGATGCTTGGTCAATGCTGAATGGCTGGAGGAAGATATCAGTGCTCAGTCCCTCAGTGCTTTTGCGGTAGGAACCAGATAAAAACTGGAATTTTAAATGTGCACAACAATCCTAAATTAAGTAGCTCCAGATGCTCAGCCTATTCACAATGCCAACAACTACTGAACTGGAAAGCACCTTACATGGAACCCAGTACCCAAAGGTAATTTCCATGTTGGCGCTGCAAAGTCCAGTGCAGTGTGTCCAGTCATCGTACTCCTAGCTAGGCTAGGCTGAGGAAGGCTGCACTGAATAGCTGCAACAGAAGAAATGTAGAGAAAAAACTTGCTGGAAGAAAAATGAAAAAAAAAAAAAAATATTGGTAAAATAAACAAGTTAACTGTCTACTTGCAAAGCTAAAGAAAATATTTCCATCCTCCTAGAAAACGAGCAAAAAAACTGAAGCATGCTGAGAGAAGGAGGGGTTATCCATGGCTAGGCCACAGGGCTACAGTTTTGTTTGTTTGCTGGTATCCAATCCTGCTGCAGGCAGCAGTATAACCCAAAGGTGAATAACTTCCCAAGTTTCTTAATGGATGAAAAAGAAAATGCGTGTTTACAAAAGTAGTGGGTTGCTAGAAACCTTCCAAATCTTTTATTCTGTTTGTACCCCTATTGCAGTTTTTTCCTCACTTTTGGTCTGTTTAACCAGTACACGCCCAGCCAATAGCCAAAAGGCGGCCGGCAAAATGTACTGCATTTCCGGGTTGGACGCCAAATGGCGTCCTCCCGCACATGCGCAGTTTGCGCTCCTGCAGAGACGCGCAGCGGTGCGATCTGTCACTGGCCGTGTACCTCGGACAGATCCTTATCGGCCCCTTTACCGGTACCATGTGACCTGCTGTGACCAATCATAGCAGGTCACATAACAGTTGTATACAATGGATGGCTTCATTCATGCCATCCATTGTATACTACTGTCTAGCTGTGAATGGTCACAGCTAATCACATGCACATGTCATGTGATTAGCTGTGGCCAAATCACAGCTAAGCAAAAAAAAAAAAAAAAACCTGAATGAATCAATGTCATTCAGGTAAATGCTTGCTTATAGCAAAGTAATTCCTTGCTATAAGCAAATTGTGTAAAAAACAAAACAAAATACTGATCACTTCCCCAAAGTAGTACAAGGTTACTATGGTAACTGTTAGGGATCCGGGTATGACCAGAAATGTGTGGACTGACACAGGGAAACGCAGGCTTCAGGTATAGTGTAAATAAGACAATTTATTAAGACTAAACAACACAAACGCAGTGCAAGGTAAACATAACACAGTGCAAACAACCCAAACTCCAACAGATAACCATATATACAAATCAACGTAGTCAGGCAGGCCGGGTCGGTAGCAAACGGGCAAACAGGGTACCAGGAGAGAGCGGAAGAGTGGTCAGGAATAGCCGAGGTCAGGACAGGCGGAGTTCACTCAGTCAGGATCAAGCAGAATCAGGAAGCAGACAGGATGCAGGTACAGGGGCTCATGGGAAACATTACACCAAGGCCCTGATCACAGGCCTGGCCATTCCTTAAATACACCTCCTGCAATCAGCCTCAGGTGATGGCTCATTGCAGGAGTGAGCCTCTGGTTGCTGAGAGCACCCGCTGGCCAGCCCTGGTACTGCAGCCCACAAGGCAGGTGAGTCCCACCACCACTGGCAAGTCCATTCCTGACAGTAACATTGTACTACTTTGGACATAGTGAAATATGAAAAAAAATCTATATAATTTTTTTTTCATACTGTCACCAGTCAGTGTCCCTGATCACCGCCATGCCAGTTATATGATGATGCTGTACTGCACTGGTGACAGTATGTAAAAAAAAATAGTGAAAATAATTTTTTGAATTTTTTCATTTTCCGAAAAATGATGACAAAAAAAATACAACTTCAAAAAACTCGAAATGCCTCTTATGAAGTACGTCAGACTGTCTACTCTGCAAAAAGGGGTCATTTGGGGGATATCTGTACTATTCTGACTTTCTTGGACCTCAACAAATTAGATTGGCCGTCAGTACTTCAGGATTGATCAATATTCAGATCTATACCATAGTTTGTGAACTCTATAACTTTCCTACAAACTAAAAAAATACATCCTAATTTGGGTTATTTTCACCAAAGACATGTAGTAGAATACATCTTGGCCTAAATTTATGAAGAACAATTATTTATTTGTAAACTTTTATAACTGAAAGAAAGAAAAATGTGTTTTTTTTCAAAATTTTCGGTCTTTTTTTGATAATTTAGCAAAAAATAAAAACCCCGGATGTGATTAAATATGACCAAAAGAAAGCTCTAATTGTGTGAAGAAAATGATAAAATTTTAGTTTGGGTACAATGTTGTATGACCGTGCAATTGTCATTCAAAGTGTGAGAGCGCTGAAACGTGAAAAATGGCCTGGGCAGGAAGGTGTAAAATTGCCCGGTATTGAAATGGTTAAACCATTCTCACTGGGACAGCGAAGGGGGAAAGTGAGGAAAAATCTAAAGGAACCCAGGTAACAGTAAAAACTTGACAGAGCTTCTAACCTTCCTCACCCTGTCCAAAACAAAAGTTTTAGCTTGATATACTCTTTAACTGAGGACACTATAGATAGCCCTGTAGTAATGCAAGTAGAATAGTGGAAATAAGATTACACCTTCAAGGCTCATTTAGGCTACAATCGCAGATAGCAATGTAAAAAGATGTATCCCATTATCCTTGAAGATGTAAACAACACATTTATATATTTGTAAATTCTATTTTTTATTTTTTTATAAAAGTAACATATAAAACTAAGCCTGGATAAATGTTCGCTTTGTTATTGATATAATACAGATTGCAAGATAAGTTAAGAGTTTCTTTAACCACCTTCCGTGCACCATATAAGGAAATGACGGCTGGGCGGCAGCTCTCTTGTTCTAGGAGGACGTCATATGATGTCCCCCCACTCTAAGTGCACATGTGCACCCCCGGGGGCGTGTAGCGATTGGCGGTGCACTGTATTCCTGGGACACAGTGAATCACCGATCACACTAAAGAGCTGATGATGTCAGCTCTGTCATGTGATCAGCTGTGTCCAATCACAAGTAAACAAGGAAATGCCAGTAATCGGCAGTCCTCTGCTCACGATGACAGCGCGTGAGAAAAGCCGGTAATCAGCATTCCTCAGAGGGGACATCTACACTGATCATCAGTGCCCTGATGATCAGTGTAGCCCCATCAGTGCCCATCAATGTCACATATAAGTGCTCATCAGTGCCCATCAAAGCTACATATCAGTGCCTTCCAGTGCACATCAATACCACATATCAGTGGCCATCAGAGCTGCCTTTCAGTGCCAACTATCACTGCCAGTAAGTGATGTATATCAGTACCACCTATCATTGCCATCTAACAGTTCCAGTCATTGCCGACTATCAGTGCCAGTCAGTGCTGCCTATCAGTGCCATATATGAGTGCTGCCTGTCAATGCCCACCAGTGATGCCTGTCAATGTCCATCAGTGCCACCTATCAGAGCCTCCTCATCAGTGCCCACCACTGCAGCCTCATTAGCGTACATCAGTGAAGGAGAAAAATTACTTATTTAAAAAATGTTATAACACTTTATTTTTTTCAGACTTTTCAGTCTTTTTTAGTTTGTTTATCAAAAAATAAAAAACCCAGTGGTGATTAAATACTACCAAAAGAAAGCTCTGTCTAAAAATAAACATAAAAATGTTTTTTTGCATGACCGCGCAATTGTCATTCAAAGTGCGACAGCGCAGAAAGCTGAAAATTGGCCTGGGCGGGAACGGGGTAAAAGTGCTCGGTAGGCAAGTGGTTAAAGACTTAATTTGAAATATACAGTATACTAGAAAAAAAATGTAGCATTCCAGAAAGTAATAACCTATACAAGTTCTGGAATGCTACACTTTATTATTAACATATCTAAATTATAGGCCTCTATGTTCACAGATTGGAGATAGCTGGTTCCTGGTCTTTGATGATATATAAATAAGTACAGGTCGGAATCATTTGACATTGTTTTGAAATGATTTCTATCCACACTTACAGTTTGTGTAAACTCAGTAGGTGCATTTCTATTCTCTGTTAAGGACACAATTCTTACCTTGGGACTTAAGGCTGTCAATGAGTTTGCTAAAAACTCCTTTATGAGACTTCCCATCTGGATGTGTGATCAAGACATCTACATCTCCGCATGTTGATTTTTGACGCCGGTATGAGCCACAAGCTATGCTCATCAGCTCTGTATTGATGTCCTTGGCTGCTTTTCGTACCTGGATGGGAGAAGTAACAATTTAGATACACAAGTTTTATTCTACTATTTAATAAAATAGAGATATATAGCTCTGCTGGGTTTGCACAAGACAGGAGCTATATAAACCTGGGAAAACAGATGGTGGTTCTAGCCCCTGGTTCAATATGCTTATCTTTGTTACTGGTGTTCTCATGGTGTATCACCACCTCAATACAGTGAAAACTGGCATAGAAGTTCATGAACATTGGTTACACAGTTTGGTTATACAGTGCATCCAGAAAGTAACTTTTACCACATTTTATGTTACAGCCTTATTCCAACATTCTACGAACAATACCCCATAATGACAACGTGAAAGAAGTGCGTTGTGAAATCTTTGCAATTTATTAAAAATAAGAAATGAAAAAAAACACATGTATATAAGTATTCACAGCCTTTGCCATGACACTCAAAATTGAGCTCTGCTGCATCCTTTTCCCACTGATCAACCTTGAGATGTTTCCACAACTTGATTGGAGTCCACCTGTGGGAAATTCAGTTGATTGAACATGATTAGGAAAGGCATAAACCTGTCTATGTAAGGTCCCACAGTTAACAGTGCATGTCAGAGCACAAACCAAGCCATGAAGTCCAAGGAATTGTCTGTAGACCTCCGAGACAGGATTGTATCAAGGCACAGATCTGGGGAAGGGTACAGAAAAATGTCTGCAGCATTGAAGGTCCCAATGAGCACAGTGGCCTCCATCATCCGTAAGTGGAAGAAGTTTGGAACCACCAGGAATCTTCCTAGAGTGGGCCGCCTGGCCAAAATGAGCGATCGAGAGAGAAGGGCCTTAGCCAGGGAGGCAACCAAGCACCCGATGGTCACTCTAAAAGAGCTCCAGCGTTTCTCTGTGGAGAGAGGAGAACCTTCCAGAAGAACAACCATCTCTGAGGCACTCAACCAATCAGGCCTGTATGGTAGAGTGTCCAGATGGAAGCCAGAAAAAGGCAAAATGGCAGCCCGCCTGGAGTTTGCCAAAAGGCACCTGAGGGACTCTCAGACCATGAGAAACAAAACTCTCTGGTCTGATGAAACAAAGATTGAACTCTTTGGCCTGAATGCCAAGCGTCATGTCTGGAGGAAACAAGGCACCACTCACCACCTGGCCAATACCATCCCTACAGTGAAGAATGGTGGTGGCAGCATCAGGCTGTGGGGATGTTTTTCAGCGGCAGGAACTGGGAGACTTGTCAGGATCGAAGGAAAAATGAATGTACAGAGAAATCCTTGATGAAAACCTGTTTCATAGCGCTCTGGATCTTAGACTGGGGCAACGGTTCATCTTTCAACAGGACAACGACCCTAAGCACACAGTCCACATAACAAAGGAGTGGCTATGGGCCAACTCTGTGAATGTCCTGGAGTGGCCCAGCCCAGACTTGAACCTGATTGAACATCTCTGGAGAGATCTGAAAATGCTGTGCACCGACGTTCCCCATCCAACCTGATGGAGCTTGAGAGGTACTGCAAAGTGGGAGAAATTGCCAAAAAATAGGTGTGCCAAGCTTGTAGCATCATACTCAAAATGACTTGAGGCTGTAATTGGTGGTAAAGGTGCTTCAACAAAGTATTGAGCAAAGGCTGTGAATACTTATGTACATGTGGGTTTTTTTTCGTTTTTTATTTTTAATAAATTGCAAAGATATATTGTTTGTAGAATGTTGAGGAAAAATGAATTTAATCCATTTTGGAATAAGGCTGTAACATAACGAAATGTTGCAAAAGTTAAGCACTGTGGATACTTTCTGGATGCACTGTACCAACTGCATTGTTAGCCAACTGCCCCGTATTCGTTTGCGCAGCCGGACAATTTAACCAGTGTAACTCTTGACCTGTTTGTGCATGTACATACTGAATACATATATTTATATATATATATATATATATATATATATATACACACACACACACTGTATATACAGTATATTTACACATACACACACACTGTATATAACATATATATATATATATATATATATTTAATTTTTTGTTTGTTTGTTTCTCCATGGCAGAAATAAGGTCACTATCTGCAAACAGAAAGCAACACAGATTTGCCAATATAAGAGGTTCTTAGCACTTAAGATGTATGGCAAGTGGAGCAGCACTAAATAAAACGTACCCTCACAAATCCAGAGTGACATACGTCAGTAAGCCGTTTCTCCAGATGTTGTATAACAATGACATACTAAAAGGTCTGCAGCTTCCGAATATTGCCTTTTCTGTGTTGTTTTTCTTTTTATCTCTTTATAACAATTAAGGATCATCTTCTATTAGTAGAATAAACCCATTAATTCTGTCCTGTGTGTGCCAGTGACATGCCTAAGAAGGTCACCACTCTTTTCTCATGCATATTTTGTCTCTTTTTAATGAAGATTTCTGAAGACCTGCTACACTGCCACGGAGTGCAAAGCTCCCCCAAGCTCTTGATGCAACATACAGCAAGGACAGTGCCTAATCCCTTAATCCCCTCTTTCTCCTGGGCTTCACCCACAGGGGCCTAGAGACCCAGGACAAGTAATCCAATCAACAACAACAATGGGCCATGGCTCCTCCCCCTGCAGCAGCCACAACAACCTGGCTGACTTTTGAAAAGATGGGGAGGGGAGAAGAAAGGTACTTGAAATTGGAAAGTCATTCTTGAAAATCCTTTACGTGACAACCGTGTTTGAACAAAAAGGGAGGGTGGCAGTGGGGGGAATGAGTCTTTGGCCTTTAATCACACGCATGGGAACAAGATTCTCAGTGGGGTCCGGTTTGGTGCGCATTCTTTAAAATCAGGCTCTGTGGCTGAGTGACAGCGTCGCAATGACCGATGCTTCCACGGTGATGGGGGTATGCAGGTGTAACATAAAGCAGCTCGTTCCAACCCACCCCGAGGGATCCTGTCACTCAACAGCAACTTTTCCAACTCCGCCGCTTTTCATTTTCTCAAACAGACTGTCTTTGAAATAGTGTGTCCTGATGATCATTACAAAGAGCTGTGCTCTTACAGAAGCTTGTGGGAGAGAGAACCCTTTCTTAACAGAATATATTATGTTGTGCCCCGAATAATAGAAGAGAAAGAAATTTGCAGAGGCAAAAGGCACAAATACCCTGAAAACAAAAGCAGAGTTTATCTGCACAGCTTGATCATGTCTTCCAGCTCCATTCCCAGCGGCCAAAGATCTCACATGTTGCTTAACCTTACTTTAATCAACTTTAGCTTTGGCAAAAAAAGGAGACCGGGAATTTGTTCAGTGATTGCCAGCTATTTATTAACAAAGTGACAATCCATTATGTTGCAGCAGCATTCTGTGCTTTGTAGTTGCTGTCCTTCAGTTGCATTGTGTGGTATACATGATCACTACGTGGCAAACATGCACACAACACGCCCTCCGGGACCCAGCACTACTTATCCATAAGTTCTAGGACTTCCATTCACCTTAAATGCATGGGCATACTGATATCAACCCATCTGACATGAGTATGGGAAAAAAGACTTGGATTTCAGACTTTGGAACTTGCTGGTAACAAGATGAATGAGGAGCTAGCGCATTAATAAGATGGATGTGGCTGTCATCAAATTTCCATCCAACCTTATAAAAGTGAGTGTAAATTTGGGTGGGGAAAATTCATACAACAATTATTGACAAATCAGGGCTAAAGTTTCTTCATCAGACCAAATATCAGTCCAGTAAGGAGTAATTAATATAATCAATTAAGACTTAGTTGCACAAAATGCATAAAAGATACACAAATACACTAGTGTCAGACAGAAGGGCAGTCACAAGCAACTTGTCACTATTTTCATCAATTCATAAAAACAAAGCAAAATAAAGACCAAAATCAACATTAATCATTCTCTACGACAGTACAATACAAGGGCCTTACAGTGTCTTCAATCATTCCAGCCTCTTCCCTGGGCATGCGGTCTAGGAAGTCTTCATAATGTTTCAAGCCAATGGCCTGCTGGGTGGTCAGGTTTGCCTTGGAGCGGATGTCATCCAGACTTCGAAATCCCTGAAAAAGCATATTAATCAAAAAAGTGCACTATGTACAGTATATAGTCATATTACACCTTACCGATACAAAATATGTTAAAATGTTTACACCTCTCATATTCCAAAACGCACTAGAAATGGGAGATGAAATGTAAACCGCTAACATTAACGGATACACTTTGTAAATATTAGGCAAATCAGACAGTTTTACCTTAAAAACATTGACAATAGTAGGGACTATTCACAAAGTGATGTTTTACCGAATCCAAGTATGCAGTAAGATACCGCACAGCGTTTTTCCAAACGTTTGCTGGCATTCACTATAAAACGCTACTAAAATACCACGAGTTAGTTTATGAAGTCATGCAGTATTTTATTAGTGAAAACATGCAGTAATGTAATGAGGGATCAGCTGTCAGTGGGTTCCCTGCTGACAGCTGAATGTAAAAAAAATAAAATAAATAATTTCCAGAAATTAAAAATTAAGAAAAAAAACGGCACGGGGTCTCCCCATAATCCATACCAGACCCCTATTCGAGCATGCAGTCCAGCAGGGCAGGAAGGTGGGGGGGGGGGGCAAAGACGAGCAAGTGCCCACCGCCCCCCTAAACCATACCAGGCCACATGCCCTTGACATTGGGGGGGGTTACATTACACTTCTTTTGAGTCAATGAGTTGGAGTACCATGTACCCCATACTCAATCATATGGGGGGGCTGGATCTGGGGACCCCTTCCAGATTCCAATAAGCCCCCTGCCCGCAGACTCCCACAACCACCGGCCAGGATTGTGGGGAAAAAGGCCCTTGTTGCCAATGAAGGCATGTGGCCTGGTATGGTTTGGGGGGGTAATGGGGGGTCTCTCACTCGTCCCCTCCTTTTTGTGACGTGCGGGGCTGCATCCTCAGGTAAGAGTCTGGTATGGATTCTGTGGATCGATGAGGTTAAAATTGAACTTTTTTGGCCGGAATGAGCAAAGGTACGTTTGGAGAAGAAGGGGCACAGAATTTAATGAAAAGAACCTCTGTCCAACTGTTAAGCATGGGGTTGGATCAATCATGCTTTGGGGTTGTGTTGCAGCCAGTGGCACAGGGAACATCTCACGAGTAGAAGGAAAAATGGATTCAATAAAATTTCAGCAAATTTTGGATGGCAACTTGATGCCATCTGTGAAAAAGCTGAAGTTAAAGAGAGGATGGCTTCTACAAATGGATAATGATCCTAAACACACCTTGAAATCCACGGGGGATTACATCAAGAGGCGTAAACTGAAGGTTTTGCCATGGCCTTCACAATCTCCTGACCTCAACATAATTGAAAATCTATGGATAGACCTTAAAAGAGCAGTGCGTGACAGACAGCCCAGAAATCTCAAAGAACTGGAAGACTTTTGTAAAGGAAGAATGGGCAAAGATACCTCAAACAAGAATTGAAAGACTCTTGGCTGGCTACAAAAAGCGTTTACAAGCTGTGATACTTGCCAAAGGGGGCAGTACAAGATATTAACTCTGCAGGGGTGCCCAAACTTTTGCAGACGCCATTTTTTTGTTTTCTGTTATTTTGAAAGTGTAAATGATGGAAATAAAATCTAACTTTTGTTGACATATTATAAGAATATCTAATCTGTAATTTGATGCCTTTTGGAGATTTTTCCATCTTTCCTTGGCTTCTTTATGCACATTAATACAAATTTTTAGCTGGGGTGCCCAAACTTTCGATCCCCACTGTATATATATATCAGTTAAGGTTTGGGTTTGTTGTACATATTTGTGTTAGTTTTGGGTTTGGTTTGTTGCACTGCGTTTATGTCTGTGTCGCCTTAATAAATTATATTGTTTTACACGCTATACCTGAAGTCTGTGTTTCCTTGTGTCGGGCCACACACCTCTGGTCTTACCTGGATCCCTGACAATTTCCTTCTGTGAATTGATTTTAACGTCTTTTTATGCAGTATTTTCTTAGCGTTTTTGCTATTTGTGATAAATACTGCACAAGAGCAACAGTGAAGTGACATTTTTAGTGTCACATGCGATATGTGGTCACATGACCAATATAATGCATGTGATAACGTTTAGTGAATTGTCCCCATTGTTGCAAAAGAACCCTGTTCCTGGATCCCATATCCAAAAGTTGCTTCTATTAATGTACTACTTGATAGGTACCAGCACAGGTCTAACTTGGAAGCCTGGCACCAAGCCTTATGTCTCTAAAAACCTCTAATTTAAGATCTGCTACCTGAACACTAGAAAAAAAATGCTTGCAAAAACTCTGCATGGACACAAATCTTAACCCATTTCCCCTATAGTTTTACAGTCACTGATGCTTAACCCACAATTTTGGTATTTTGTGGATCCTTTTTTAAATAAGGCAAAGGTCAAAAATAGCAGCCTGTAAAAAAAGAAATAAAAAATAACAGAAATCACCTTTTTAATGAAGCAGCTTTATCTGTTATTACATACCTGTTGGTACCAGCTCTGGGCTGTCTTCACTCCTGCCCCCCAGATGTTAGAGAAGACCTCTAGGACAGCAATGCTGTCACTAATGTGATCTAGTTTGCGCAGATGCCCACTGTCCAATATTTCATCAATTTTCTCTGCCATTTTCTTACCAATACCAGGAATTTTGGCAGCTTCCTAAAAGTAACACAAGCATGAATAAACAGAACACTGCACTTCAAAAAGGTATCACCAATGTCTATCCTTTAAAGTTTACAGATTTTTAAAGAGCAATTTAACACAAGTAGGCAATTTCCAAAAACTAGTAATGCTATCCAGTAAACACAGCAGTCATGTTCAAATTATCAAGACATGTTTCAGGATGATTTCTCACACCCACCAATCAGATTTATTTTTTTTCACATTTCTGTGTGTGAATGACAGCAAAGAGCTTTGAGCGACTGTTCTAGCATTAACAACAGATGCGTTCCAGGATCACCAGACTATAGATAAAATTAACTGGGGTAGACTGCTCCACTACAGTAATGTCTGGTTGGAAAACTAAACTACTCTGCAGGCAAACTCAAGATTTAATTTTAATTTTTGACTGAAATGTATTTTTAAATATTTACATCATTTAAAGCATTTGTAGTTTTAGTAAATTATATTTAAATTGTTAGGGATCTTATTACAATATACCAGCAATACCTCTTTTTTTTACCATAGCAACACTGTAAATGATTGCAGAATATAAACTAACATTATGAGTATATACTTTCCATTAAGCATTTTGTTCCATCATAGACCTAGTCTAATAGGAAAGAATAACCACCACACTTCACACAGATAAGGGAAAGACTTTACAATGATTACCGTACATTCTTTATTCTTTAGAAAACATGCAGTTTATTACATAAGCCAACAATAACTATTTTAAGTTTTATAAATTTGATGGCATCAGTATGTATGATGGTCTATAAATTTGATGGCATCACATGCTTGACTTTACTTGTAAGCTACACTGGAATATTTTATGGTGTGCTTAGTAAACACCTCTGCATTTCTTGGTTCGAGCCTCTGCAGCTTAGTTTTGTGTAAGGCAGCCCATTCATTTCAATTGGCTGCTCTACCAGTAGAAACATGGGAAAAGAAGTCCCCAATCTGTTTTTAAAATTTCACCAAAATTGTGCCAGGGTTCTCGATGCCTGTGGTGCCATTAAGAATTAATGACACCTGCCTGCATGTGCTAAAATGCAGCGCATTTCTCTGCAGGTTAGGAATGCATGCAATTTTGCATGCATTCACCATCCGCAGAGATGTGAACCTAGCCTAATTCTTAAAGCCACAGTATTATAAATCAGGTTATGGTAAGAATGCCAAATAGAACCAAAACATTTAAATTTTTTTTTAAAAAGAAGTGGTTATGGAAGCTAAATTTTCCACAAGGTTTTAAAGGAATGATCTGCATGGCTGTGGATTGATCTTTAATTTGTAATGAAAGGGAAGATCTGTATACACTAGACCTTCTGTTTTAAGATGTGAAAGCTTTGAATTCTTTCACAACATCTCCCTAAAATCAATATACATTATTGGTTATATCCATAAAGATTTTTGTTCACCTGAGAAGATGTAACTGGCTTATGGTAACTTTTTAGTGCATTTATAGCCTTTGAATATCCCAGAGATCTCCAGCGGTCTCCTTGAACAGAGTAGGCCTTTGCGAGCACCTCCAGCTTGTCAGTGATAAACTGATTGTGATTCTCTTTCTTGGTCTCAGATGATTGGGCGCATACCCACTTTCCAGACACTGTTGGTGCTTCTTTACCAGTCTTCTCATGCTCTGTGTTCTTTGTAATTTGCTGGCCAAACATCAATGCATCCAGGTCACCTTGAGTTACACCAAAATCCTCTCCATCACTTCCCTCATCAGATTCCTTTACAGAGAGAAAATTAGATCATTATTCATTAACAGCATCTAATACATTCTTGAAGAACAACGCTGAAGCATGCACTTCTTAAAAAAAGTTATATATGTAAGTTTTATATAAACTGATCAGCCATAAAGTGGGTGGATTATACTAGGCAGTAAGTGTCCCTGAAGCTGATGTGTTGAAAGCATAAAAAATGGGCAAGTGTAAGGATTTGGGAGATGGTGACAAAAGGGCAAAATTGTAATGGTCAGAGTCAAAGCAACTCCAAAAATACAGCTTTTGTGGGATGTCCCCGGTCTGCAGCAGTTAAGAGCTACCAATAATGGTCCAAAATAAAAAAACAGAACCGCAACAGGGTCTAGAGTTGTCAAGGCTCATTGATGTACATGTGAAGTGAAAGGCTGGCCTGTGAAGTTTGATCCAATAGAAGAGATACTGTAGCTCAAATTACTGAAAAAGTTAAAGCTGGCACCAATAGAAAAGTGTCATGACACACAGTGGAATACAGTTTTTTTTTGTATGGGGCTGAGTAGCTGCAGACAATCAGGGTGCCCATGCTGACCTGTGTCCACAGCCAAAAGTGCCTACAATGGGCATGTGAGCATCAGAACTAGACCACACAGCAATGGAAAAAGGTGGCCTGGTCTAATAAATCCAATAATGGTTTGAGGGACAAAAACAAGTTTGGATGTTGGTTTGGCCTCCACATTCTCCAGATATCAATCCAAATTGAGCATCTGTGGGATGTGCTGAAAAAACAAGTCTGATCCATGGAGGCCACACCTTGCAACTTACAGAATCTTCTACTGACGGCTTGATGCCAGATACCATAGCTTACCTTCAGAGGTCTAGAGGAGTCCATGCCTCCAAGAGTCATAGTGGCTGATCGGTGTATATACATACAAACGTGTGTATGTTTAGTTAATGCAAGAACTTTCAACAGGTTGAATTTTTAAAGTGTTAGCACAAGGAGCAACCATGGGGGAGTTGAACATCCTATGATTCGCCTATCACTATGATGGACAAATTCAACCTCAAAAACAAGGCTGATGACCCAGGTAGCATATCAGGCACCTAACAGTGCCTTTTTTTTTGGAGCAAGCAACACTTTCCAATTTTTCTTTTCACACATGTTTTGTCAGGGAGCGAGGAGCCAGACACACAAGGAGGTGCAATTAAAGGTAGGTTTATTAATATAAAAATAAGACAAAAGTCTATGCGAGTCCAACCGCGGAAATCATAGCCAAAGCCTGGGTCAAGAGCCAGGAAGAATCGTCGCCAGAGCCGGAATCAGGAGCCAGGAAGAATGGTCGCCAGAGCCGGGGTCAGGAGCCAGGAGGAGTCTTAGCCAAAGCCAAGTCGGTATCCAGGAAAGCAATGAGTAGCTAAACAGGAGCTTGCTGTTGTGCAACAGACAGGACACGAATGCAATGGACAGCCACAAACAGCAGATTTATATGTGATAAGCCGCCACCCCCTGGGGGAGGAGCCACAGAGGGCTGAAAGCATAAAGGATCCCACAATGCTTTGCAGACACCTAAGATGGATGCCAGCACATGGAGCAGCACAAGGTCTGAGGAAAGGTAGGACCTTGACACGTTTGCACTAAGTAAATAAAAACACCATCAGGGTAGATTGCAATGCTTGTAACTAACTATATTGAAACCAACTGGGGATGTTTCTCATACTATGGTTTTGAGCCTATTTATCGCATACCAGGGATCATGGATCAGTTTGAATACATCAAAATACTTGAGGTCATGTTGCCTTATGCCAAAGAGGAAATGCCCCTCAAATGGCTGCTTCAACAAGACAAGGCCCCAAACACACCAGTAAGCGAGCAGCGTCTTGGTTCCAGAACAACAAAATTACCATTATGAAGTGGCCATATAATCCTTAATCCAACAGAAAACTTGTGGGGTGACATCAAAAATGCCATTTCTGAGGCAAAACCAAGAAATAGAGAAGAAACTGTGGAATGTAGTCCAATCATCCTGGGCTGGAATACCTGTTCACAGGTGCCAGAAGTTGGTCAACTCCATGCAACACAGATGTACAGCAATTCTCAGAAACAGTGCTAATACAACTAGTTCAGTGATTCACAAGAAAGCTATATCTTCAAGCATTTTTCAGTTTATACAGTAAATGTTTGCGTTTGTAAAGAAAAATGCAGACACTGCTATTATTTTGAACAGTCTAAACATTCCTTTTCTTCACTTTCTGTAAAGTAATAACACATTTGAAACATTTTTCTTCATGTTTTGATTTGGAAAAGACTGTGCAGTGTTCCCAATGCATTTACGTGTATGGAAATTAAAGCTATTATAAGGATTTTGAGCTTTACTCACTTTTTTAAACACACTGCTATTATTTTTAACGCAACTTTAACAAAGACACCCTTAAGGAACTGGTTTATCAGAAAGATTTACAGTATTGGGACCTTTACTGTAGTCAGTCTTTCCAGGATGAGAGCATGCCAACCTGCTGTAGATCGGTCAGGATCTTCAGCCGATCTGCCGTTTTAAAAAAGCCTCCAAAAAGGTCTGAGGTTACCATGGAGTTTTCTAGTAGGGAGATCTCCTATTGTTACCAGTTCCTGGCCTTGAAATGTCATTGAAAGCAATAGATTTCTGAAGCTGCAACAGTGAAAGCCAATCACTCTATAAACACATATTTACTCAATATTTTGATATCTTAATATTGATCTGAAATGTACCCCTCCTCTCTCTTAGCCCCCTGAGATGCACATCATTCTCAACTAGCCCTTCCTACATGGAGTTGAGTATACCTTTTAGTTACTGTTGAGTAAGGTATGCTGTAACACTTTGTTGTGCCGAGCCTGGGTATGCCCAATAGGCTTGGTTTTGTACCTACATTTTTGAAATTCAATAAAAAGAATTTTCAAAAACAAAACACATATTTACAACTAATGATATTGACAATATTGCAGAATTTTCTACACTACAATAATCTGCATGTAATTGGCCATCCCCTGTTTATAGGCGTGTATGAGGAGAACTGAGATGTCATAGGTGCACAAGTATTCTGGAAATTTATGGCTAAACTCAACATCTTTAATTGAGTATAAGCGTGACATTTATTTGGCAGTTACAAAGAATACTGATAGCCAGAAAAACAGAAAGTTACATTTATTAACAATCATATAAGTTACAATGGCTACCACAGTACCAGGTAGCAAAGTATAGATTTTGTCATGCCGCACATGGTGAGCACTCCATTACACTTTGAATCAAGTTTCTCCCGGTAGTTGTAGGACATGGTGAAGGAGCTGCCAATACTCAAGTTTCTACAGAGTGCAGGCACTGCAGGAGGCATGACGGGAACTGAATGATGACACAGGGCAGAGAAGGCTGACCCATAGGCACAGCTTGAACTACAAAACTGCCAAGTCTGATTATTACGCATGTGGTAAGAATTAACGTTGCTTGTGTGGTCTTCTTAAATATTCTAATGTTCTGCCATGCCAGTTTGCAAACGGGATCTAATGTATAACCTACTTCTAAAGTCTCCGTGGCAAACATCTTCAAATATTTGTGGAAACCACACTTGGCTATAAAAGTGCCTTTGCAAATCAGGTTATTGATGAGATATGTATAAGAGGCAACACAGGGAAACATATTGAAAGCTGAAAAAGAGACCAAAGTTCAACATGAGATTATCCCAATGTGCAATGCTTAATAAAAGGTCCAGAGTCCCTTAAAGTGATATTAAAGGCAATTTAAAAAAAATAACAGACATGTCGTACTTACCTGCTCTGTACAGTGGTTTTGCACAGAGAAGCCCTGGTCCTCTTTTTCTCAGGTCCCCTGCCAGCACTCCTGGCCCCTGCCTCCTACCGAGTGCTCCCAGAGCAAGCAGCTTGCTATGGGGGCACTCTAGAAGGCTTGCTCCCGAGCCGCTTGCTCTGCATGTCCATTCACACACACAAAGCTGTGGCTCTGCCCCCTCCTCTTCATTGGCTCAGCCAATGAGGAGGGAGAGTCACTGGAAAGCCAAGGCACTCATGCACAAGGCGTGATCGTGTTAAGAGGGAGGGGGGGGGGGGGCTGGTGGGACTGCTGCACACAGAAGGTATTTTTATTGCTGCAGTAACTTATAGTATGGTAGTTTTAAATTAAATCACTCGGTGAGTATTTTGAATGCCAAAAAAAGTAATTTTAACCCTTAAACAGTAACCTTTACCCTAAAGTTATTCCTAAACATGAATAAATCCCTCAAAGCAAGTCCTCCATTTGCTAAAGTTTACAGAAACTGCTGTAAAATAAAAATGCAGCTTTTAAACAATGCAGCAGAGCATGAACAAGAGCTTTGTCAAGTTCATCATTTCAGACCCAGTTATACTGCCACTGGGCGCTACCACTTGCCTCCTCCACAGCAGACTGCAACAACCCACATGTAAGGCCATTGCCTTTCTGTGTTGCAGTTCACTACATACACCAAAAACAAGGAGAAGTTGTTATAAGTGAAGAGGGGGACTTAGCTGATGACTTTTAACAAAGTTAAATTTGCAAACCTGTATCAGGATTGTTCAGTCTGCACATTTTATGAAAATGAGTGCAATGTACTAATAGAGAAGATACGGATGCCATCATGTTCATATGCTTGGTACTTGACGAGGGTCTCTTTAACTCATTCCATTAGAACAATATTCTTAAATGAGAGTATGATGGCATGTACATTGTCTTTTGCTCACAAGCACTGCAGGACACTCTGATATGCAAATCTTCACTTTCAAAGTCAAGGACAGGCTCTTCCCTTCCTGACCATCTTGTTAGATTTTTCATTGTGATGGCCAGCCTCAGTGTCCAACACAAAGTTTCATTAGATGAAAGGGAACAGGACAGCTCTTGACTTTTCCTGAGAAAGTTACAATATGTATATTAGAGTGTTACAGATTTTAGAGGGCACTTAAGAAATTAAATATCCGCTATAGCAACATATATTGTATTCCAATTACTGTATGCAATTAATACATGTACTGTTAGCATTATTTGTCAATAAGTATTTTTTGTGATATACATGCCTATGTGTTATATATTTTTTTGGCAAGCTGTCTTCATGTGACAGGAAAAGTGACCAGTGACCGGGGTTAAAACAAACCATGGGGTGGGGAGAAGTGCCTGGGAAATGTGGGACTGAGCCCATGTTTGGGCTTTTTAAGTACAAGAACAAAAGAATTTATAACAATGTTTACTGGTTGAACTTTCATTTACTAATGACTAAAGCCATAATAAAGCACTCACATTTCGATATGTATGAGGACACCACATGCTACTAAAAAATGGCCTCTGCAAATGTGGGCTTGAATTACAAGGGCCATATAAGCTAGCTGTATAAATTATGCTAATGAACAGAACATTTCAGTATGACAACCAAGTTAACTGTCCCTTTATTACGACACACAAACAAGAAAATAGATCAAAAACTAATTTTGCAAATACAAAATTATATATTAAATGGGAATATGAATAATATAAATTAAAATATGGTTGGTAAGGTATAGGATACTGCAATCCCTTCTGTAAGCCCTAGATTCAAAACGATCTTAGGTACAACAGTAACAGCACATGACATACACCAACTAGCTTTAGGCCTTTAATGCAGAAATGTATTTTCCTAAAAACCACATAGTAAAGAAACAGGCTAGAGAGCCTGCTAATAGAGTTACACAAAAAACTTAGTGGCACTTTTAAAAAAAGTTGTAGGAAGCAGCTAAACAGAGCTTTGTTCTTCCTCCTTCAATGAGAGAAGCCTTAATAATGGTCTTGCCCAAGCAAGGAATGGCTGGGTCTGACCAGTCTATTGTTTTTTCCAAATGGAATCATAAGGAGTAGAAGAAAGTTATTGATAAGGTCCTGCAGGACTTGGGAGTACCCACTCCAAACCATACATGCCTTTTATTTGTAGACAGAAGGAATGAGAGAAAATTATAGATTTCACCATTCATCAAGCACTTGCCTACTGGGCCAATTCTGACATTTCTCTCCTACATGTAAAAATTATATTTTTTTTTGCTAGAAAATTTATTAGAACCCCCAAACAGTATATATTGTTTTAGCAAAGGCCCTAGAGAATAAAATTATGGGTGTTGCAATTTGTTTTGTCACATGGTAGTTGCACAGCGGTTGCAAATTTTTTTTGAAAAAATACACTTTAATGAATTTTAGTGAACACAACATGTCCAAACAACCAACCATGTCATGCTTTAAAATTGCACACACCCGTGAAATGGCAAGAAACTACTGTACTTTAAATTATCCACAGGCGATGCTTTAAAAGCCTTTACAGCTTCACAGCTTAGTTATACAGGGGGTCTGGTGTTACAATTATTGCTCTCACTCAGACATTTTCGGTGATACCTCACATGTGTGGTGCAATCACTGTGTACATATGCGTGTGAGAGCAACCGCCTAAGTTCACCTTTGACCGTACGCGCAAGGGACAGGGGCGCTTTAATTTTTTTTATTATTGTGTTTTTTGGGGGTTCTTTTACACTGTACCTTTTATTTTTTTACATTTATTGTTAACAGAAGAAATGAACAACATCACTTATGATAGCATGGTCCATGACAGGTCCTCTTTATGGAGAGATCTGGGGTCTATTAGACCCCAGATCTCTCCTCTGGCCTCCAATGCAGCCGATCAGACACAGATCAGTCTGATCGGCTGCTTCACTGGCCAGTAAACACAGAGCTGAATCCGTAAGTGACCAAATCCTCATCACTTCCAGTTTCTGACATCACACATTGGGAGGAGCAATATCAGTTCCTCCCACTACATCCAGGGGAGCCGATGCCACCAGCTGCATCTTTACTGGGCTCCCCAATCGCATGGGAGAGCCAGGTCAGGTTAAAGTCCCCTCATTAGCTGAGGACATGATGTTGGATATGTTGGGACAGAGAATTCTAGCACCAACAATAACCCTTTGTTTATCAACTGTCAAGTGATCTCTAGGTCAGCCATGATGCTGTGATCAATCTTCAATGACTGTTTCGGATCAAATGATAAGAATCCCAAATTACCATAAAGAAATTGCTGTCACAATAAATATAAGATTATGTTCGCTGGCAAAATTTGCAATATTTTCTCTTGGAAATTAATGTGTCCGAATACATATACATAACATTTTGTCAGTCAAGGAAGTTTGTTGCCAAGAGTTCCCAATGCACCTACTGTAGTGGGAGGGTATAATAAACATGGATTTTTCAAACCAGAGGATGATTAGGAAAACATCTTTATGTAGGATATAATTTGATGAATTTCAGTCATTTCTTACCAAAGATATGGTTAAAAACACCTATATGGCATACATAGTTTGAGTAATATCCTAATTCTACATCTTCATATATAAACCCTTTTCCAGTGGGTTGTCCTTTGTGTGTCCTGCTGGATGCTGTCCCCTGATATCAATATTTGGACAAATGACCATCCTCTACAAAGTATTCCATGCAAGCACGTTTTGTAATGATCAATTGTGCCTCTAAATTGTATTCTTGGTTAATGTGTTAAACAAGAAAAAAACCAATAATGCATATTTATGATAATCCTACATGCACTATGCTTTTTGAAGGGAGCCTTATGTGAGTACCAACTTTGACACAGAAATAACTAAAGTGATATAAGGATAAAGATAAGAATGGCAACTGTAGAAGTAAATGGCTTGCATTAATAAAAGCTTAAATTGTATACTAATTTCTAGCATGAGTTAGGGCTAAGCAGCTGATTTTCCACCTATAAAGAAAATCATCCTCCTCACCTGTACTTTAAGCAGTTTGCCATCACTCAGCTTAGAAACATCACAAGCCTCTTCCGTGTGGGTGCAGCTGGCTGTAGCTTTTGGCAGTTCATCATGCTCTTTCTTGTCATCCACAATGCCCGTGTGCCTTTGTTCAGGCTCTCCTTGGTCTTTCACATCCAGGTACCTGCCATACGATTATAGTTATTTTAAGATACACCTTTACATGTGGTTTTATTGAAGTTTTTAGACATACAGTACTTGCATGCCCATGGGGCAAATACTTGAAAGTAAGGGGAGGCAGGAACATAGCTATTAAGTGATAACAGGAGATTTCAGGAACAAATTCTAGGAAACTGGTAAGTAGAAGAAAGAAGCTTTCAGGAAATAATTTATAAACAGTTACAGCTGTCAGTATAAAGGCAAAAGGTGACAATACAACTGCATTATTTACTGTGCAGAACGATTAACCTACTCCTATATTATTCCTTGTTAAAGTCCATATAAACCCCAAATTATACACTGATCTGTATTAAAGAGCTGATAAACTGGGCCTGTATTAAAACATTAACAATCTTGCTTGGGAGGATACAAATGGTAATAAAAGGCCTAAAAAACAAACCTTTCCTGAGGGAAATGCTATTACAGGTTTCAAACAGTTCAGGCCATATGCATGAATACCTAGGAGTACTCACTGCATTATAACTAACTCACGTGCCAGTCACAGCTGTGTGGCAAAGGAATACATTATACCCCATAACAGCTTAGTGCAAATGAAAATCCAGAGGTTTTAACACAAATGTTACCATGCATGTTACTGGATTCACATGGTTGAAAACTTATACATACAACATGGTGAAGGAAGCTCTCACTAGAAATCAGCTTACCTTTTAACACATACCAAAATGTTGTTGAAAGTGCATATGAACACGGTTATTTAGAGAAAGCCTTTGCTTTTCCTATGCCAGAGAAAGTAACAGATACACTTGATAGCCCCCCACCCCCTATGCCATGTAACCTCATCACCATTCACTTTTCCTGATGTCCTGTTCATCCACTGGTGCAAAGTAACAAAAAAGCCTGGTGCATGTTGGTCTGGTAGGAGCTTACACAAAGCTAAAGACTCCCCCCAACGTGACAGTCCAGGAACACAATGCTGCCTCATGGGAGGAAGGGGAGGCGTACCCATAAATACCTGGGCATAAGATATTCCTTCAGTGGCTGAACAGAGGCAGGCAGGGCAGAAGGTGAAGAAAAGCAGCGAGGGGGGGCATAGGCAAAGCTCAGGTACACTTTAATCTGCCCCAAAGCACATGTATGAATGGGACCTAATTTAAAAAATTTAAGCATTTTACTTCACCAGGTTTGATAAATGCTTTTTTAATATAGAAAACAACATTCCTATATGAGTTTTGTGAATTCCCACTTCATATGCCTATATGTACATCAACTCCTTTCAGGGCCACACTTATTTCAGAACAGCTACAATCTAAAAAAATATTCATAGGCAATAGACTTTAAAAGCATTGTCCATGTTTGTGACCATGAGGCCCTGTCACATACACCATCTCCCTGAATCCAATTGAACATCCCCTTACCATAAACGCAGGGTGCTTTTTTCATTGGTTGTGAATGTTGTTCTTTGAATTCAGCATATTTGTGCAAGGCTCCTCCTGTATGAGTGCATTATTTATTCATGGGGATGTATCAACGGCAGATACCACAAGTCCCATCATCCACTGTGGCACAGGGACGCACACAGCACGTTGGCAGGAGGTCAGTGATGTCACCACACTTATATTTAGAATTTCCTCCAGCCCAAACCATAACATATCTAAGTACAGAGCTGGGGATCAGGGTAAGCAATGCAAGAGCCTTTATTATTATTGTTTAAAAGGTGGACTTGGTCTTTAAGATCCAATAGGTAGTGCTAAAGTGTAAAGTTATCCAAATTTATTCTAACAGGGCTCACAGGATCAGGCAACAAATATTTAAAGTATATCTAAAGCTAATTTTTTTTTTTTTTAGTTTTGGATAGACTAGGGAATGGTTTAATCACCTCCCGTCCGGTCGTTGTATATAAACAGCTGGACGGTGGCAGTGCAGGGGTGGGTGGCCGTTTATAAACGGCCTCCTTGCCCCCTGCTTGTGCGTGCTCCCTGGGAGCGTGCAGCACTGCGATCCGGTGCCCGCTGTGTCCTCTGGACACAGTGGAACACCAATCGTCGTACGGGACCTCTGTGCAAGGTCCCGATCATGTGATCACTGATTGGCCAATCAGTGATCACATGCACAGTAGTAAGCAAGATGTCACTTCTGACATCATTGCTTACTACTTGTGAAATCTGTGAATGATCACAGAGGTCACATGGTACAAGGCTATTCACAACAGCCTTGTACCATGTGAAAAGCTGTGACCAATCACAGCTCACACAGAATTTCTCAATGGCTGCAAGAATGTAGCCAGAGAGAAGGAGAAATGATTGCTTTTATAGCCTTTATGGGTGTAAAAGCAATCAAGAGTAAAAAAAAGGAAAAAATCTTCATCACCGTCCACCATCATGACACTGTACTGCTAGGGTGACAGTATGTAAAAAAAAAAAAAAAAAAACACAAAACAAAAAAAAAACAAATAATAATCTAAAAAATAAAATAAAAATGTAAACAAAAATGTTTTAAAAATTATAATTTTTGGTTATAAACTAATTTGGGTTATTTTACTTTTACTAAAAAGATAAACAGAATACATTTTGGCCAAGATTTATAATGAAATATTATTTATTTGCAAAATTTTATAAGAAAAACACTTTTTTTTTCAAAATGTTTGCACTTTTTCATTTATATAGAAAAAAAAATCCCTGTGGAGAATAAATACCACCAAAATAAAGCTTTGTCTCAAAAAAATGCTAAAAAATTAATATGGGTACAGTGTTGCATGACTGTGCAATTGTCATTCAAAGTGTGACAGCACTGAAAGCTGAAAATTGGCCTGGACAGGAAGGGGGTAAAAATGTCCGGACTTGAAGTGGATAAACCCCTTTTTCGCTGTCTGTGTCCTTTTGGAGAGATTTTCCTTCCTTTTATGTACTTTAACAAGACACAATACTGTAAAGGAAATCTCACTTAAGCAAGGAAGTCCCCATTTAGACAGGTCTCACTAAAACAAGTGTCTTTGGAAAATTCCCCCTGTATTCCTGCATCAATGACAACTCAAAGTTTCAGATTTTTTTTTTACTTTGGGGACCAATAATAATGGGCACCAGTAGATGGTGAAGCTCCATATCGGGAAATGAACAGAACAGCAACAAAAACCTATTAGAGGCTCTAACCGTTCCTTACTCTAAAAGCCGTTCATGGTCACAGTGCAGAACAGTGTACTTTTGCGGAGGGTAAGGCTAGGTGTTTACATTCAGATGTAGCCGCTTAGCTAGTACAAATCAATGACAGGCTAAGAGGCTCCACAGTTGTCCACATGCAGTTGCACATGGAGCAACTACCTGCAGTTAGGAACAGATGAGTAGCCTTGGACACAAACAATCCGCAAACATAGCCAGTCCTCTGTTCCTAGCTGCATGTAATCACTCCGTGAGTAATTACATGTGAATAGCCACAGACAGTGTCAGCCTGTCATTGATTTGTACATGCTTGCCATCCACATCTGAATAAGCACCCGATCATACCTCAAGCAGAAAAAACACTGTTCTGGGTGGTGTATGGCCATATGAGTGAGCCCTTACATACACTTTATTGTGTAATACTTTAAGGGGTAACTGCTACACAAGCCATAGTGTAATTTAATGTTCTTAAAAATTACCTTTTCAATCTGCAGTGCTGTAATTTTCTGTAAACTTCAGGGCAATATGGCACTCTGGAGGCATTCAGTACACACTTGGTGTACAGAACGCCTTCACAAATGTCATTTCCTGCTTCTATGACTGGTTCACAGCAGGAATTCTTATTTTTTTCAACAAAAGCAAAGTTACTCTTTAAGCAATGATTTTCAAGGCACATACCTGTCTGGAATAAATATGCTGTACCCCGCTGTATTTACAACCTTCTTTTCTTTTATACACAGGCTTAACCAGCTGGTTTTCACTAGCTGTACACCTGTGGGCAGTTTCTCCAACTTCAAAAGTCGAAAAGCACGGCCACAATCCATTCCATCATCCACAATAATGTGTGTCACCTCTGGACCAAACTCGGGGACAACCTGGCCACCATTCTGAATGATCTGCTTCTGAAAGATCCCAGACCTGGCTTGACCAATTCCAGCCTGAAGGATATAAGCACAGACTCCAGCAAAACATTCTCCTGAATAGATGTATAAACAAAAGTAAAAACAAAACAAAAAGAAGATTAGATTAGCATTCTTGATATATAAGTTTGATTACATGATTCATTTGAAGTCAAACATACAGGCTCTAATGCAATAAAGGGTCAGTTGTGTTTCTTGTAACAATTTTAGTTGTGTTAATTCACCACTCAATTTTAAAAGGTATGCAAACCCCAACAATGAACATTTATTTTTTTTTTGTCTGTTAATTATATCATTGACAGAGTTTGGCTTTATTCATTTATTAAAAATAAAAGAAAAACAGTTTATCCTGCCGGAAATCCAGTAACCTTGTAAATTCCTATAGTGAGCAGACAATACTGCAATGAAACAACATTATCAGTCCTGCCCTTGGTTTTTATGTGCACTGCACAACACCTCCCTCAATGCTGTGGAGATTAGGACAGGTGGAAATGTTCTGTAGTACGTCAACGGTAATGATGCAAACATTGTCACCTTAAGACAAACTTGTGTTATTGGTAGGATCACTATGTAAAAATAAAAGGACAGACATATGTTCTCCTTGGCATACCCAATTATCCAAGACACAGAAACTTGTTCCCTTCCACTCTACATTCGAGTCTGGGAAAAAAAAAAACCTCAATCGTACTTTTACACAAAACTAAATAGACTGTATTCTTCTTTTAGCACATGATGCCTCAATTTCCAAGATAATTCAGTAAGTGGACTATAAGTTATGTGCAAACCCTCACCTTGTAAAAGGACCCATTCAGTTTGAAATAGATATGAAAGGTAAAACATTTGTATATACATATAAAAAACATTATAAATCCCTTTGTTTCCCCCCTTTTTTATAAGTGATCACATTCCCTCTGTACTCAGCTGCAGAAAGGTGGGAGTGGAGAAACAGCAGCACACTGATTCTCAATGAATGGCTGTGCGGGAAGGGGCAAGCATGTCAGCACAAGATCATTGGAGGGGAGCAGGCTGAGTTCCCAGCACAGCTAGAGAAAAGACCACTCTGTGCTCTCATGTGCTCATCCCTAGTGTGGTCAGTTTGTAATAGGAAAGCAGAGGGACTGTCAGAACAGAATGCTTATTTTTTATACAAATACATAGTACAGCAGGAATACGAAATGCTGGGTTTACATAGTCTTTAAGAGATGGTATAGGACCCCTGATTTACTGAGCAAAATGTACCCCCAAAGTCTACCTAAGTGCTGGTACTGTAAAGCAAACAGGGGCACTCTTTTCCATATATTTTGAAAAGGCCACCTTCTTATCCCCTTCTGGTCCTCACTTCAGACACTGTGCAACAAACTAACAGAAGTCCAAATAGACAATGCCCCTCTGGCTTTCCTATTTCATCTCCCCCCGCACCAAACCCAAGACAAAAGATAGAAAACCTCGCTATTGATCCACTTCGTAAGTGTGGCCAGTATCTCTATCCTATGGAAACAGATCCCCCCCCACTCTGAAACAATGTTTCCCTCAAATCAACAAAATCATGCAGATGGAGGATTGTAACGGCCTCTATGTGCCATTCGGGGGAGGAAATTCAGGAAAAACTATTACTATTGGCGGGAGTTTGTATCTACCCTGGAATATGGTTTTTATCTTCTACATGACCTACCCTGACCTAACTTCTCCATACAGCTTTATTGTTTATTCCTGTGTAGAGTTAAGAACTAGCATATTCCTCTGACCTTCTCCCTTGCTAAGGACTGGTTGGCTGAAATTGCATATTAATAAAACCGGATTTGTTTTTTTAATTTATTTTCTTTATTTATAGATCTAATTAAAATAACACTGTATTTTTAGAACAGTCACTCTTTACCTGATCCCCCTACCCTTAGAACCTCTTCTAAATATTGTACTAACCTGCCCTTGCTCATGATAGATCTTCACTAGGAACCTTGTTCAGGAAGATTTTTCTTCTATGCAAGCATGTAAAATACCTATTCATTCTTATGGAGAAGATGTCTAAGTGTTCCAACAATGAACAAAACTATCCATAGAGGATAAGAGGTTTTTCTATTCACACAGAAGTTACTTCCCAACCACACAGTGAAAATCTGGCAGGGGTAAGGAGAGTTGAGTATAAATATTTGGGGACAATGGAGTTAAAGGGTAACTGGACTTTTAGGTAACAATATTATGAAGATATAAATTTTTATCAAACACAATGGAGTTGGTTTACTAAAAATGGAGATGCAAAATCTGGTGCAGCTTTGCATGGTAGCCAATCAGTTTCTAACTTCAGTTTGTTCAGTTAAGCTTTGACAATAAACCCTGGAAGCGGATTGGTTAATATGCAGAGCTGCACCAGATTTTGCCTTCTCCAGTTTTAGTAAATCAACCACACTGTTTATATGTTTGTAAACATCTATACACACAAACGAAGCACTGCAGAAACACTTTTATGTTGACTGAAAATAAACTTTCTGCAGTAATGATTGGTAGACAGAGTCCATGTGATCAAGGCTGCAGAACAGCAGCTGTTTTATGTTGATGCACCCTATTGATATGGGAAGAGTTCATTTAAAAGTAGAACTCCATCCACTGTTAACAGCCCCTAATGAAATTTCCAAATGGACACAAAAAAAAAAGCACTCCAAAAAGGGGACGCAGGGTGGCCAGTTTGTATTTACTGTCCTAATGACCTCCAGAACTCCAGTAAGGACAGCAATAAAAAATAGACACAGAAACTAACTCTTTCCCACTCTATCCAAAACATTAAAGAGAAACTTCAGCTTTCAGTCACAGCCTGGCTCCGTAGTGCCACCACACGGGTGCCCCATAGCACATGACTAGCTATGGGGTCACCCACAGAAAGATGAAGACAGCGCTTGGCAGGGGACCACCAAAGAAGAGGTAAGGAATCGCTATGTGATATATCATTGCACAGAGCAGGCAAGTATAACATCTTTTTTTATTTTAATAAAAACAAACAGTCTTTACAACCACTTTAAGAGAACAAGATTTTTTTCATATTTTGTGAACATTACTGTTTGCAAGTGAAAATAATTTTTTTCCCCCACCATAATAATAAATAAAGACCTGTATATGAGCATACCAGAGACGACCCTACAGCCAGTCTGATTTTTGGACACCCTTTTTTAATCTTACCTTGAACATCAACATCTGCTTTGATCTTTTTTGCTTCTTGTTTTGAATTGCTACTTTCTCTCAACCGTTTTACTTTGGGGAATGCTTTAACAATTCCTTTCGGTTCCATGCAAATTATCTTAAAAAAAAAAAGAAGTTTGTTAACAGTTGGTCCTTCCTGCTTACAAATTAGTCATTCCATGTTGAACCTTAACATCTCTTGTTAAAGCATGCAAAGGCAAAAAAAAAAAAGAACAGATTTCTCTCCATCCACACAACTGAGGTGGATAGAGGAATCTTTTTTTTTTTTTTTTTTTTTTTTTTTATACATGTCTATTTTTACCTGCTCTGTGCAGTGATTTTGCACTGAGCAGCCCTGATTCTCTTCTTTTGGGTCCTTCCCCGCAAACGGTGCCCCCAGAAAAAGCTGCTCAACCTGGGGGCACTGCTGCATGCTCAACCCTGAGCCGCTGCTCCATACGTCCATAAGACACACAGAGCCGTGGTTCGGCCCTGCCCCCACTCTCTTCTCATTGGCTAACTGGCTGTGATTGACAGCAGCAGGAGCCAATAGTCTCCTGCTACTGTCTCAGCCAATAGGGAGGAAGAGTCCTCAGACAGCATAGGTTGTCAAGAATGTCACCGGATCAGAAGGGTTCAGGTAAGGATTGGGGGGGACATTCTCTACTCTGAGCTCCGGTGAGCAGCTTCCGCAAAAAGCAAATGTGCTGGAGTGTACATGATGAGTGGAGTGTTCACAGCTGGCCCCAACCAAGTTACAAGCTTCCAGCTCATATCAAAAAAATGATCTAAGGCTCACAGGATACCTGACATCAACATATGAAGAAAGCCTGAGAGATACATGACTGAGTGGAAGCATGTCTTTAAAGACTTTCCGTAATACTTTCTCATCCTAAAGAAGCTTGATGCAAGAGAATTTCTGCTCTGTGCAGTTAAATCTTAATGTGGAATTTTAGTTGGAAAATTAAGTCTTGCTGGATCACCTCAAGCTGCCCCTTTTGCAGGTATAGCTAAGTAAAACATGAAAAATAAGTGTCTGTGCTGTTTAAAATCCAATAATACACTGTCTCCTCCTGCTCTGCACATGCTCAGTTGCTTTGTATTTTTAGGCACTGCCATTGTAGAGGTCAATCTGCTGACAGACTAAGGCCCTTTCACACGGGCAGTTAGATTTCAGCTTTTAGCTGCAGTTAAAGAAAGGTATTTACCGCAGCTAAATGCAGACAATGCATCTCTATGGCTCCATTCACACACTGCATTTAGCAACATTTTTATAACTGGAGTGAGTTTAGGAAAAATAAAGTTGACAGCGTCCAGGAGTGATGTACCACAGCTATCTGTACATAAACACAGTTAATCCCAGTACAAAGAAAAAATAAGTCAACAGTTGCTATAGAAAAGGCAAGAATTTACTACCACAGCCGCATGTAAATGCATGTAATCCCAGATGAGCGCAATATACAAACGCAAGTGATCTCTGTGCCAGGAGTGTTAGAATTTCAAAATAAAAAAAACAGCATTTACAAGTAGCAGAACAATCACCCGTGTGAAAGAGGCCTAAGCCCCCGGTCACATCAAAGCCGATTTTGAAATCGTGCGACTTACAGTGAAGTCACACGATTTCAAAATCGGGGTGAACTGCCGATTTCAGTTGTGGTTTGCAAGACATCTGACACAGATGTCTATGCAAATCGCAACAAAAGTAGTGCATGTACTACGTTAGAAATCGGTGCGGCTCCGACCAAGTCAGAACTGCACTGATATGACCGCTCTAATAGCGGACAACAGGGTGCAACTTGGCATACGATTGGCAAGTTGCATGGCATGCAAATTGCACACCAAATCACACCTGATGTGACCGGGGGTGTAAAGCGGAACTAAACCTATTGATTTAAGTTAAAAAAAAAAGTTACATTCCTAGAATACCAGTAATGTTAACTGTCACGTTTGCTTGAATTCTCAACCAAACTGTCAAACCATCAAATGACTGGAGTTATAACTGATCTTGGCTGAAAAGGATAAGAGGGTTTACTTCTGCTATAACTGCTGCTCAGGAGCTCTGGGCTTCAACAAAATGGCAGCCTCCAGCAAGAAGAAATAGGGACAATGCTGGAGGCAATTTACAGCTCACACTAATTTTGGTGGCATAATTATTAATGTGGAATGCATGTTCCTGGCTAAAGAACATAATTTTTGTTCTGCTTTTTACTGATGAACTTTAAGCTGACTGTGGAAGTTTAAAGAAAATGAAAAGGTGACTACCATCCTCATCATGGATTTGTTACTCCCTTCCTGCTGTCAGGACCCCTGGAAGCTGCCCCCCTTCTGTCAAAAACAATTTCTGAGAGTCACAATCAGTCTGCCTTCACAGGTTTATCAACTGGAGCAGACACCAATTTTATCACTTTGAACTGTGGAAGTGGTAGTTTAAAGCCAAAGAAATGTCCTATTTGGTGAAATAAAATTGTTGGATGTTTTACTAAAGCAGAAGACTTGTGCATATCCATTGAACCACATCGGGTGCCTCTGCCAATCGAATTACCGATGGGCTTTTTTTACATTGACTCTTCCTACCAATTTGCTCACCCACCTGAGAACCCTACAGAGCTCCCAGGATGGGAAAGCCCAAGTCATAGAGAGTGACCCCACTAACCTAGCATGGAGACAGGTTTTCTCCACACATGCACTAGAAAGGCCGCGTTCGTCCGTCCGTCCCCCCAGTTGCTGGGTGACTGCAGCCTCAACAGTATTAAGTCCATTTTGACCTTTTTCGTGATAGAACTCATGTACACATGACGATTTTGCAGCTGCTCCTAGGGGAGTCTGATGTTTTTTTCCTGCCGTGCATGTTATCCTATGGGGGAGATTAACTAAAACAGGAGCACTCAGAATCTGGTGCAGCTATGCATGGGAGCCAATCAGCTTCTAATTTCAGGTTGTTCATTTAAGCTTTGGGAATAAAACCTGGAAGCTGATTGGTTTCTCTGCAAAGTTGCACCAGATTTTGCACTCTCCAGTTATAGTAAATAACCCCCTATGTGTCCATGCACATAGACTTTTAGCAGTGTTTAGTAGCAGGAGAGTTTGGAGGCAGGAAAAAAACCCCACTGCTAGTGCGTCCAGGAGCAGAAAAAGTTTGGGCAGAAGAAAACGCTTGTAAACACATGTTAATGCTAGGCCCATTTAGCGCTTGAGCGTTAATTCATTTCAAAGGCCACAATAAATTATTTATTCTGGCCAATGAAATTGGAAACTGTAAATGCACCTAAAAACTTGTAAAAGTGTTTAACACTTTTACAAGCTTCAGGCATTTTTTTCTGCTAAATGCTGCTGGCTTCTAAGAGTAAAAAAAAAAAAAAAAAACTGTGAAAAATGTAATTTCGCATGCGAACGACCAATTTTCTATGCGGTGGTATGATGGTCGCCCGAAAAAAAAAAAATCTATCAATGCTATCACACGAGTGGAAACAGAAGATGACCCGGATGTTTATGTCCAAGGAATCTTCGTAAAACACGAACGAAAAATCCAAATGCTAACAGTAGATTGGCCTACAATGGGTGTACGAAGATGCTTCCACTTCGGAGCTCGCAAAGTATCTATTAATAATATGTTCTAATGCCAGTCACAAAGGAAAACGCTCGTTCTGGGGTGGCAGGGCGTTGACACTTGTTCTGGGCGGAAGGGCGTGGCTTCAAGGTCACACGCACACTGCATCACTTCCACTGGTACGGAAGACGTCAACACTACGTATTGCTCGACAAACGATTTTTTTTTCGATTGGTTAATGTGGGCCAGGGTTTTGACCAACGAACGAATGCTGATCGGTTGTCAGATTATTATTTATACAGCATTTATAAAGCGCCAATAGTTCGCTCAGCACTGTACATTACAAAGGAGGACAGAACATGTGACAGAACAATACCAATACAATGCAAAACATGAGGGGATTGAGGGCCCTGCTCTTTCCAGCTTACAATCTAGAAGGGAGGGGATGGTAGCACAGGAGGAGATAGCTGTGGGGGATGGAGTGGTAGGAAGAGTGGAGGAGGTCGGCAAGTTAGCAGGGGGTGGGGTAGGCTTCCCTGAAGAGATGGGTTTTCAGGGTGCGCCTAAAGGAGAGGAGAGTAGGTGATAATCTGATGGGTTGGGGCAGGGAGTTCCAGAGGATGAGTGACACCCTGGAGAAGTCCTGGAGGCGGGCATGGGAGGAGGAGACCGGGGAACTAGAGAGAAGGAGGTCTTGTGAGGAGCGGAGTGTGCGTGTTGGGCGGTACTTGGATATTAGGTCAGTGATGTTTTTTGGGGCAATATGGTGGACGGCTTTGTACGTCAGTGTTAGGATTTTGAATTTGATCCGTTGCGCAATCGGAAGCCAGTGGAGGGATTGGCAGAGGGGGGTGGCGGAGACGGAGCGGTTGGAATGGTGAATGAGTCTGGCAGCCGTATTCAGGATCGACTGAAGCGGGGATAGCCAGCGGCGAGGCAGGCCAGTGAGGAGGGAGTTGCAGTAGTCGAGTCGTGATATGATGAGGGAGTGGATGAGCTGTTTAGTGGTTTCTGGGGTTAGGAAGATGACCGACTGGTATATTTTCTTACTGTGTATTCTTGCCATAACTCCATCCACTCCAAATCTTACATTCAAAATGCCCATTCACACCACCTGTAGTGCGGGAAATGCATGCTTCCTGCACCACACGAGATCATGCTGCCCTCTTTAGATATGTGCGGGTGCCATTAATTGTTACTAGTACCCCTATGCATCTGGCAAACGTGGGTACATTCACAGCCACTAAACTGCAAGGGACCACAGAATCATGCGGCTTGGTTTGATTTTACAAATTGTGTCTGCCTCACTTTTTTGCACATTCCCGTGCATTTGGTAGCCCGATGAAAAGAATGGTCCGCTGCAAATGAGCAAAGCCACACATGTTCTGCTGTGAACAAGCCCTTAGGCTCCATGCACACTAACATATTTTTTTAGCTCACAAAAAAGCTGGAAAAAACTCTGGTAATAGCAATTTTTAGTAGCATTTACAAACATAAGCATTTTATTAGCTTTTTTACAGTACATGTAGAGGGGGAAAAAAGCTGTTAGGAGCATTTTGGTAGCATTTAGTATTTTTTCTGCTGGAAAAACACTCCAAAAAACTCTACAAAAACAATTTTTTTTTTCTGAAGCTCAAAAAAATGTTAATAGCCTAAAGTAGTGTGCCTGGACACATAGGATAACACTATTGGCTTCTAGGAGCTTAACCACTTCATAACCACGCTACAGCCAAATGACGGCTACAGAGCGCTTGTCCAGTTTTGGGAGGGTGTCATAAGATGTCCTCCCAGAACACGCCCCCCATGTTCTCCGTGTCCTATGGACACAGCTGATCCTGATGAGGTAAAAGGCCAATTGCAGTGGCCTTTTACCACGTGATCAGTTGTGTCCAATGACACAGCATATCACAGAGTAAATGCAGTTGCCGGCTATTGGCTGCACATTCCTCATGCTGTCACAGTGTAAGGAAAGTACTACTGATAACAGATAACTGATAACCTGATTATCACAGAGCAGGTCAGCACTGATGATCAGTGCCAAGCAGTGCTACCCACCAGTGTCACTCACCAATGCTGCATATCAGTGCAGCAGCATCAGTTCCTCCTCATCAATGCCCACTAGTGCCTCTTCAGTGCAGCCTATCAATGCCCATCAGTGCTGCCTATCTGTGCCACCTCACCAGTGCTGCCTACCCGTGCCACCTCACAAGTGCTGTCTATCTGTGCCACCTCACCAGTGCTGCCTATCTGTGCCACCTCACCAGTGCTGCCTACCCGTGCCACCTCACAAGTGCTGTCTATCTGTGCCACCTCACAAGTGCTGTCTATCTGTGCCACCTCACCAGTGCTGCCTATCTGTGCCACCTCAACAGTGCTGCCTATCTGTGCCACCTCACCAGTGCTTCCTACCCGTGCCACCTCACCAGTGCTGCCTACCCTATCTGTGCCACCCTCACCACCAGTGCTGCCTACCCGTGCCACCTCACCAGAGCTGCCTACCCGTGCCACCTCACCAGATCAGTGCTGCCTACCCATGCCACCTCACCAGTGGCCACCCATGCCACCTCACCAGTGCTGCCTATCTGTGCCACCACCAGTGCCATCTCACCAGTGCTGCCTATCCATGCCACCTCACCAGTGCCAATCAGTGCTGCCTACCCATGCCACCTCACCAGTGGCCAGTGCTGCCTACCCATGCCACCTCACCAGTGGCCATCAGTGTGCTGCCTACCCATGCCACCTCACAGTGTACATCAGTGCCACCTCACCACTGCCCATCGGTGCTGCCTATCCATGCCACCTCACCAGTGCCCATCAGTGCTGCCTACCCATGCCACCTCACCAGTGCTGCCTACCCATGCCACCTCACCAGTAGCGATCAGTGCTGCCTACCCACGCCACCTCACCAGTGCTGCCTACCCATGCCACCTCACCAGTGGTCATCAGTGCTGCCTACCCATGCCACCTCACCACTGCCCATCAGTGCTGCCTATCCATGCCACCTCACCAGTGCCCATCAGTGCTGCCTACCCATGCCACCTCACCAGTGCTGCCTACCCATGCCACCTCACCAGTAGCCATCAGTGCTGCCTACCCATGCCACCTCACCAGTGCTGCCTACCCATGCCACCTCACCAGTGGCCATCAGTGCTGCCTACCCATGCCACCTCACCAGTGCCCATCAATGCTGCCTACCCATGCCACCTCACCAGTGGCCATCAGTGCTGCCTACCCATGCCACCTCACCAGTGCTGCCTACCCATGCCACCTCACTAGTGCTGCCTACCCATGCCACCTCACCAGTAGCCATCAGTGCTGCCTACCCATGCCACCTCACCAGTGCTGCCTACCCAAGCCACCTCACCAGTGGCCATCAGTGCTGCCTACCCATGCCACCTCACCAGTGCCCATCAATACTGCCTACCCATGCCACCTCACCAGTGCTGCCTACCCATGCCACCTCACCAGTGGCCATCAGTGTGCTGCCTATCCATGCCACCTCACCAGTGCCCATCAGTGCTGCCTACCCATGCCACCTCACCAGTGCCCATCAGTGCTGCCTACCCATGCCACCTCACCAGTGGCCATCAGTGCTGCCTATCCATGCCACCTCACCAGTGCCCATCAGTGCTGCCTACCAGTGGAGCCTCATCAATGCACATCAGTGAAGGAGAAAAGTTACCTGTTTGCTAAATTTTTATAATAGAGAGAAGGAAAATTTTTTTTATTTTCTAATTTTTTTGCTATTTTTTTGTTTATAGTGCAAAAAATAAAACACCCAGCGGCGATTAAATACCACCAAAAGAAAGCTCTATTTGTGTGGACAAATTGATAAAAATGTCATATGAGTACAGTGTTGCATGACCACGCAATTGTCACTCAAAGTGCGACAGCGCTGAAAGCTGAAAATTGGCCTGGGCAGGAAGGGGGTAAAAGTGCTCGGTGGGCAGGGGGTTAAAAAAAAAACCACTAATGTGCATGGAGCCTGAAAACGCACAAAAAAAATTGCCTACTGACGCATGGCTACGCAACTGACCAACACTGCAACAGAACACACCTCTTCCCAGGCTGGTTTAAATGAGCCCTAAAGTGGACCAGTCCATACAATTCACACCACATACAGGTCTGGTCTGATAGAAGCTGTGACCCTGGACAGAACTGTGGGAAGCCCCGTGTACGAGGAGAACACACATCCTCTCCTCTCCCCCCATACAAGGTGCACACAGAGCAGACCGGTATAATAATCATTACTATTACATGAGCGGTAGTAATTATATTAATATTTGCCCCACTTACTGCCCGGACTTGTCTGGGTCACTACCGCTTCCGGCTGACCCGGATGTTGTTGTGGGTCACGCGGTCTGCTCTGAGGCCGTATCAGTCCGCTGACAGGAAGGGCCCGGACAGGGTTGTCATAGTAACAAGCAGAGGCCGGTGCGGGTTGTTATGGTGACTCCCTGGCTGTTATAGGGACAGAGAAGGGACCGGGAACAATGGCGGTGCAGCTGTGGCTGGAGAGCCTGAGGGCGGCTAAGAAGACCTGTATCCTGCAGGACGGTAATGCTTGTGTGTGTCCTCCCTCCATAGGGCTGCGGACCGGGGTCACGTGGCTGCGGCAGCATGGAGGGCGCACAGGTGTTCCTCTGAGATGCCTGTACAGGACTCCATGCTGTCTGGCTGTCATCAGACCGAGCATTCTATGTCCAGCACTGGCAGGCATACAATCCTCACATCCATTCATTATCATTGACATATATTGTACTTGGTGGGGACTGAGCCCCCACACCAGAGCTACAGGACTGTGACCTCACAAGTTATTTTTTTTCCTGGCAATTCCATATTATCGTGTGTTCTGTGATGTGTAATATATTGCAGTTTGCCAATCCCTAACTCTGGGTTCAGAAGCGCAGTACAGCCCATTTAACATGATTTCTTATGGGACACATTCACATCTCGCGTTTTCACCTGGTGCCGTCTTTGGAAAGGGTCAGGGACTTTTCTAAACGCAAAAAGGTGTGTTTTTGGTTCTATAGAGTTCAATGGAAACGCTGCAGAAAAGCTTGTAGTGCGTTTTTGATGCGTTTTGTATTTTAATCTGCATAGCAACAAGAAAACCCGCAAAACTCGGCAAAAACGCACCACAGAAACGGATGAAACGCAAAGTGCATAGGTGTGAGCCTAGCCTTAATGTGGTGGCTGCATTTGTTTTCTTTGTTTTCACCTGGTGATATATCCAGTAACACACTTCCTGTCTTGGGGTGTCTGCATTGTGGATGGGGGAGCAGTGGAGACACCTGTGGAAAGCAGCATTGTCAGTCTGGAGAGAGGGCAGTGTAAGATGGACTAAAATTGGAACTAAACCCTCTTATCCTTTCCACCTAAGGGAGCTGCCATCTTGGCCTCTTGTTTGATCTGCGCTTGCTGCATGGTGCTGCACCAGTTATGACACCAGCCAGTTGATGGCGTGACAGTTCAGCTGAGAGCACAGGCAACTGTGACAGTTATCATTCATGGAATGCCTGGAATGTAACTGTTTTGAGAAACCATGAAGAGCCCATTCACATTTGTGTGACTTGTCATGTGACTTTGGGGTCCAAATGCACATGACAAGTGTGCGATTTGTCATTTTTGCTCACCATTTTGAGATCGTGGGCAGAATCGCAGCAATTCCGTCCACAATACAAAACACCCAGTTGAAAACCGAGCCTAAATCGATGGGTATAGTTCAGCTTTAAAGAACATTTAAAAATAACAGCATTACTAGCCAGACCACAGGATTAAATACGGAAAAGGCCTAAAATATGAAGACTAAAGTGGGGTACACACAATGAGAAAATCTGATGAACCATCATCCAATTTTCAGAAAGGTACAAGTCATGATGTAACCGATAATGGCATTAAAGTGGAGCTCCAGTCAAAGCTAAAAAAAGCAGCTACAAAAACCGTCTGAACTTTTGTGTGAACAGTCAGAGCCGGCTGTCAAAAGCACTATACTAACAAACCGAAAATCAACCGATTTGCAGAATGTTTCTGTCAATTTTCTTACAGTGTTTACCCAGCTCAATGTAACCAGCACATCTTAAGCCGGCCATACATGGATCAAAATTCAGCTGGTTCAGCAAGGACCAGCCAAATGTCATGTCCATGTATAGGCAGGCTGCTTGCAGAGATATCAATCCTACTGATCAACTTCTCTATAGTCAGCCTGCTTGATTTTCCCTGCTCAGCCAGCACCACCAGCTATAGCCAGCAATATATTATGATGATGGCGGGGAACTCTCCCTGCTATCAGAATGCAAAGGCTCATCAAGTCATATTTGTTTTTTTCCTTCAGCCTGCTGGTTGAACGAAAAAAATTACCCATGTATGGGCTGCCTTAAAGTGGTTGTAAACCCGTTTTCCCTGCAGCTGTGTTTTTAAAAAGGTGCAAGCAGCTTTTTTTTGCAGGAAACGCAGGCACGGCAGCCCATTAAAATAAATAGACTGCAAGCTTGCACATATGTGAACCTAGGCTCAATCCAGAGCACTAAGTGCCATTTCTGTCCGCTGCCTCACTCCTAGACCCAGAACACAACGAAAACTTTGCAGAGGGTCTAATCTTTTTCCACTTTATCTAATAATAATTAAAAAAAAGGTTTCAACTTTACATGCAATCAACTGTGTGTGACAGAACTGGTGCTTGGACAAGTTGGCATTGATTGCTCCGTAACATATACAGATCCTCTTACGCTTTCAGCGGCTACCCCTATAGGTGTAACTAGAGCAGCAACTCAGAGCAACCAGTCAGAATCTAGCTGGCTTCAGCGCAGTGAATTCTGATTGGTCTGTTCAGGTTTGTAAGTGAAACTATACACTATGCAATCTGATTGTACAATCTCCTTTAGATCTACCAAAAAGTGTGTAATGTAAAGACCTGTGCTTTGTGATAAAAATTGATTGGATTGTTTAGGTTTGTTCTCATATTATATAGTTTTGTTAAATTGAAATCAGGTTGTAGTGTGTACGGCAACCCTAACACTTAAAACCCAGTGCTGTCCTTGCTGTGGGTCTATTTGATGCTATTGAGGTGATCCCAGAAGCCCTGGTGTTTGATGATTTATTGGTGACAGGTTTTTTTCAGCTGGGTCTTTCTCCCTTGCACTCTATCCGATCCCACCCTAAGGGCCTCTCTTTTTGCGGCATGCATTCATCTAGCTGCTTTTACTTTGCATCTTTGGAATAACGGAAAATTTCCAATCAAACACCATAATTTTCCTTTCCTGATTGACTCCATGGCAGCATACGTATGGGTTAGTCCCACCCTCTCCTCTCCTATAGGACCCCACTCCCATAAATGTTTGCTCCTTGCCAGAGGCAATGTTCCATAATTAGCCTACTCATGGCATTGGGAGAGTACTCCTGCTGCCATGGAGTCCATCAGGAAAGGAAAAATTATGGTAAGTATTTGATAGGAAATTTTCTGTTTTCCCAATATACTCCATGGCAGCATACGTATGGGAAATAACTAACCATACACACACGGGTGGGCAGTTACTCAAACAAAGACTTTAATTTGCCCCATCAACTGACAGGACTTTCAAACCAAAATTAACAGAGGATAAGGAGGCAGGATCTATACAGTAATGAGCCATAAAAGTGTTGATTGAGGACCATGATCCTGCTCTGCAGATGTCAGGGGTGACATGCTGGGAAGCTGCCCAGGACTTAGCCACACTTCTGGTTGAGTGTGCAGTCACTGCCTCTGGAGGCGCCAAGCCCTTAGCTCTGTAGGTCATTTGGATGGCCTGGATGATCCAGGCCGCAATTGATCTGGGAGAAGCCCTGTCTCCTTTACTCTTCCCATGGAAAAGGATGAATAGATGGTCTGACCTACCAAAGGATGCTGTGACCTGCAAGTATAGCCTTAAGGTCTCACATCCAGGGGGTGAATGTCATCGACTCCCGAGGCTCTAAACCTTGGCAAGACAATCTCCTGTTTCTCAGGGAAGATCAAGGTCACTTTAGGATTAGAGCCTAGCATAGGGATGAGGACCACTTGATCTGGGAAGAATGTCAAAAACTGTTCTTTGCAGCCAAGGTTCCCGATTTCAGAGACTTTTTTGCTGATGTAACCACCACCAGAAAGGCCACTTTGATGGAGAGCTCCCTCGCTATGGGTGGACCAGCTGATTCAGGAACACTTCCAGGGAAGAAGTGTAGGACAAGCGGAAGGTCCCATTTCGGGAACCTCGGCTTCCTCTGGGGCCTCAACCTTACTGCCCCTTTTGAAGAATTGCTAGACCAGAGAGTGGTCGGCCCATGATACTCCAGTGAAGGCCGAGATGGCTTGTGCTTGAACCCTGAGGGTACTGACCAACAGAGGCAAGTCCAGGCCTGACTGTAGGCGTCCCTGGACATCCTGAACCCTCAAATTACTAAAGGATCTGCCCATGCTCCAGATATAGTCCACGAACTTAGACCAGACTCTTCCATAGACCCTGTTGGTACTTGGTCTTTTGCCATTCATCAGGGTAGGGATGACTTTAGGGCAGTATAAGGCCTCAAACCATTCCCTCTCAAGAACCAGACCATTAGATGAAGCCGGGCTGGGCAAGGGTGAAGAATGGGCCCCTGCAACAGCAGGTCTGGCTTGAGGGAGAGGAACTGGATCCCGAAAGCTGAGCTACGCCAGTAAGGGAAACCATGGTCTGCTTGGCCAGTACAGAATTATGGCCACTACATCCACTGCTTCTGCTCTGATCCTCCCAAGAAACCTGAAAATGACAGGGACTGGGGGAAATGCATAAGCTGTGCGAATCCTCCACTGATTCGTCAGAGCATCCACTCCGAAAGCATGGGGACAGCGATTCCTGGGGTAGTACATCTTCATTTTGCTATTGCACGAAGAGGCAAACAGGTCAACTTCCAGACTGATCCCGAGGGTCAGTATCTACTTAAAAACCTCTGTGTTGAGAGACCACTCGTCTAATTGAACCCTAGATAAGGAAGTCTGCTTGCGAGTTCTGGACTCTGGGGACGTATACTGACGATATGTTGGACACGTTTCTCTGAGCTCATGCCATCATTGACTGTACCTCTCGCAAGAGTTGCTGGCATCCGCTGTGAGTGTGACCCAGGAGATGGGGGCAATGGAGTGGCAGCTGATCAGATTCTTCCACTGTAGCCACCAAGGAAGGTTCTCCTTCATGGACGGAGATATGTAAATGACCTTGCCCATGTTGCCTTGATTCCACTGTTGAAGAAAACCCTTCTGAAAGGGTCGCATTCTCCACTGTGCCCACTTCACCATGTAGACACCATGGTGCCAATGACGTTCAAGCATTGGAGGGCCCAAAGATGCAAGGAAGACAGGGCAGGTAGTATTCGGCTCTGGATTACCAGAATCTTCTCCACGGGCAGGGAGATGGTGGCACTGACCGTGTAGAAATGAGCCCCGAAGAATATTAGAGACTGCATGGGCTCCAACTGGCTCTTCTCCGTATTTAGCAACCCCCAAACTTGAGAAGGGTCGAGATGACATGAGCCCTGTGCAGTAATAGCTTTCCTCTGTCCTGGGATAGTAGGAGCAGGTAGTCTAGGTAATGGTGCAGGTGAATGCCTCTGGTTCTGATCAGGGCCACGACTGCCAACAAGACTTTTAAAAACACACGAGGCAACGTCGAAAGCCCAAAGGGAAGAGCTACAAACTGGAGATGCTAATGGTCCACAGCAAACCGGAGAAATGTCTGAAAATCTCTTGCAATGGGCACATGAAAGTTAGGCATCCTTCAGATCAATAGACAGGAGCCAGTTGCCTGGTTGAATTTGTTGAATTGTGAACAGCGTCTCCATCTTGAATTTTGACTTCCTGATAGAAGTTTAGATGGGTAAGATCTATGACCGGCCTCCAGACCCCGTTTCTTTTCTGGACTAAAAAGAGGGGGAGTACATGCTCTCAAATTCTTCACCCTCCGGAACTGGCACGACAGCACCCTGCGCCAGCAGAAAGTCCACATAGGACAGCAGGATCTTCCTCCTTTCTCCGGAATGTGGAAGGGTCGTAGGGGTTAACTTGAGATGAGGAGGGCTCTTGAACGCCCAAGCATGCCCTAAAGATACCATGCTGACGGCCCAGATGTCTCGGATTGAAGCTGCCCAGACACACAGAAAATGGCGAAGATGTGTCCCCACCTGGCCTGCCTGAGCTGGTCCAATCTCAAAAGGACTTTGTGATCTCATGACCTCCAGAGGTCGAGCCCTTGGAGGACTTCTGAAAAGATGGCCGGCTTCTCCTCCAGCTTCTCTTGAATTCACATCCTGGCTTGTAGAGGTGCGTGTCCCTAGCTCGTTCTGAGCCTTGACTTCTGGGCTGAGCCCTCTTCTGGCCTAGCAGACGCCGATCCTGGGATAGGAAACCAGATTCTCCCACCTGTAGCCCAGGCTATAGTGCTGTCCAGTATGTTCTCAAACCGAGAGGAACCATTAAAGGGGATCTTGCACCATGCCTGCTTAGATGTCCTCTGATTTTAATGAATAAAGCTTGGCTGCTTTGTTCAGCAAGGAGGCCCTCTTATCAACATTGCTCCACTCCTCGGTGAAAATTTCCCCAAGTTCCTCCAGGAATGAAAAGTTTGGACGATCCTTCCTTAGATGTTTAATGAATTTGTTTTGTTTTAGGAGGAGACTCCACGGCTTCTTCCCACTTCAGGGCCTATATGACTGCTTTGACTATGGGCAAGACCGAAGCGAAGTTGAAGCCCACACACGGATCCTCACTCTCTGCCTCATTGTCTGAGGCTCCGGCTGACAAGTGACTAGGTTGTGAAGGCTCTTTGGGAGGGGAGCACACCCCAACCAGTGGCCTGCGGGCACAACTAGTCCCAATTTCCTTCAGGGACTCTTGAACGACCTGTCTGACCAAAGCCTCTACCTGTTGGTTGGCACTTTCTCTCTCGCCAGTCGCCTGTGTAAAATAGTCACATAATGACCTGTCATCGGGAACCTGAGTTCCGGCTGGAGTGGCTGGAGAGCCTGTTAACGTGATGCTTTGAGGAGGAAGGAGAACACCTCCTATGATGCCTGGAGCTGGAAGGAGACCTGTGGTGTCCGGATCTAGAGGAAGAGTGATTGCATCGAGACCTGGAAGCACTTCTGTCATCGTGTGCCGTATAGTGCAGATCAGACCTAGAAGGGCTAAAGAAGAAAAAAAAAACAGGGAATAGTTAAAAGCCTCAGAAAGGCATCAGTGGGGGATCAAGTGGATAAAGCTGCATGTCTGTACCTACTGCGCAGGTACTAGCCACAAGGAGGCGGTGACACATCCATGCTGGGTCAGCTGCGAAGACAATCAAGCTGTTAAAAAAACAAAAACATGACATGCAGAATCCCAGTAGACCACCAGGGAGGCAGGAGGGAATAGGTACTGACCTTCACAGTGGACCACAGTGCTTGGGGAAGCTGCCGTATTCAGCCTGCAGGATTTCCTAATGCAAACCGCTTTCACTGCTGTTCCGCTGTACTGCGCATGCGCCGGAACCCCCATGACGCCCATACGCGAGTGCCATCTTGCCGTACTGCGTAAGTGCAAAGTCAAGCTTTGTCCTGAGGCCAGCTTGCGCATGTGCAGTGCCCTGGAGGACCGCAGACCAGGAAGCGGCAGCCTGGAGAGCAGCATGGCACTTCAGCCACCCACTAGCACAAGGGAAAGCAAAGAAAAAAGGGGGAAAATGAGACACGAACGGGGGCACAGAGAGCACTTACCGACCCCGCACTTCCACGACCTCCTACTTTGGAGGCCACCTTTTCCGTTTGGGCGAAACATGGCCGCCTGCTGTTAGCAAGCTATCCGGCCCAAGTTGCTGCTTGCCCGCCATTGGCAGACCTCAGCTCTTTCAGGCACTGTCTCCTGCTCGCCCCCATTTCCACCCCGCTATTAGCTGGGGAATGCTGGAATTTAATGAGGTGACGCATCTTCACCACTCCCGGCACCGCATCCATCTGCCACGTCCAATACCTTGCCTTTTGCTAGGGACCCATGGAATTGGCAAGTGGCGTGGCGCGGCACTTCACATCTCCCGGAGAGGCTTGCCAGGCCTTGGTCGCAGACCATCTTGCATGTGCGAACCAGGTAAGACTTGCACTAGGTCCATAGGAGGAGGACAAAAAAGGAACACAGCCTCTGACGAGCAGCAAAGATTTATGGGAGTGGGGTCCTATAGTAGAGTAGAGGGAGGGACAAACCCATACGTATGCTGCTTTCCTCTCGATGAAGACTTTCTGAGTTGAAACTCTTGAGGTCTCAAATTGCCATCTGAAGATCCCTGTTAGATAGTACTTCTATAATGCAGATAACCATTGATGTACAGGGTTATTTATTGCTTTCTGTATGATAACTCTTTTTAAACTTTGTTAATAAAGCAATGTATTTTTATTACAATCTTTTTCGATTATTGGTACCTAATAAAGTACCTTCCCTCTTTTTCCATTTTGGAGTCATGTAACACTTTACACCCAACTCAATGGGGCGGACTGACCATTTGAAAACTCGGGCACTGCCCGAAGTCCGGGGTCAGTAGTGGGCCCCATGAGATGCCCCTGGTACTTGGAGGCTGGAGTGTGATGGGAGGCAGTCACAGCTTACGGAGGGGCTACAGGAGACCGGTCACAGCACTAGGGGGACACTGCAGGAGCAAGGAATAAGGTATTTTCTAGTCTGCAGCAACAGGAATGGTGATCTATTGCTTGCTCTTATTATTCTGCTGGAGGTGCTGAGCTGGATCAGCACCATCCTCGTCAAGGATGGCCACCATTTTGGTGATGAGAGATGGATATCTGCAGGATTTCCCATGTATCCGCAGTATGGAGGCATATACCATCCATACATTTGAAGTGTATATAAGCCTAATGGTGAACTTCAAGCAAAAATAAACTTAAAAATTAAAAAATGGCTGACCAGTAAGATTTTAATGACAGAGGAGACCCTGTTGGTCTCCTCTGTTATAACTACTTCTTTCCATCTGTCAGTGTTTGTGTGCACTGAGCCACGCATGTGCACCTCAGCATGCATTGTTTTTTTTAGAGGTTTGATTTTGCTTTCACTTCTTTGGTCTGTATGAAATATTTTTGTTACCTGTTCAAGAAGTGAAAAAATACATCATCCCTCTGTGGAGAGGGGGAGGTGCTCTGTATTCTTAACACACTCCCTGTCTTAGGGTGACAAAGCTGCTTTCTTCAAAGATACAGCACAGTGAGTGAATATTGCCCTGCTAGGACTGGAAGTGGGTTACTGGTAGGATTACCAGGGGAAAATAAATCGGACAAAAATACAACGAATGTAGCCACTGCATCTTGGGACTGGCAAGGCACAGTAACATTTGGTTTGGGGCTTGGGTACACTTTAGGAACTGCTAAACATATTACAGATCATTCCTGTTTAAACACTTTTTTTTTTAATTTTATTTCTAGGCAGAAGAAAAATACATTATCTATTTTCAGATGGCAAGGAGATGGTGGAAGAGTATGACCACAAGACACATGAGCTATTGGGTAAGGAAAGTACATAGCTGTACATCATCAAATCATACTGGTATAATAAAGATATGTTATTCTGGACCACAAACAGTCCACAGCGCAGTTACATACATTATTCTAGCACTGCAGAGGACAGGTGTGCTACCTAGCGAGTTGGAGCTCTGCGCAGGAATCACCATGTTCCACCATATTCATGTAGAGGTCTCCAAACTTAGTACAAGGGCCACATTTAATATTTTTACAAATATCTGCAGGCCAAAAGAAATTATTTTTTTTGTTTTTTTTAATAAAAAAAAGTGAATGAATAAAATTTAAGTTAAAGTGATACTAAAGTCTTGTGTGTGTGTGTGTGTGTTTTTTTTTTTTTTTTTTTTTTTTTTTTTTTTAATAACAAACATATACTTACCTGCGCTTTGCAGTGGTTTTGCACAGTGCAGCCTGGATCCTCCTCTTCTAGGGTCCATCGTCAGAGCTGCTGGCTCCTCCCTCCTGCTGGTGCTCTCATAGCAAGCAGCTGTGACGGTGCTTACCAATTAAAAGCTGTCTAGTCCATACTGTCATCTCTGCACTTAGAGAAGAGAAAGCTGTAGGAATTTCAAATATCTGGCTTTTCCTTCTGTGACCACATGAATTTGCTGCAGATAGGTTTCCTGCACCGCTCTTGTGTGAACTTAGGCTGGGTTCATGACTGACATGCCTGGGTTGACACAGGAGCAGTGGGGAAACCACATGCGATTTGGACAGGAATTGCATTCCTGTTCAAATCGCATGCTTTTCTTTGCAGTGCAATTTGCATCCATACATTTTTGTATGGATGCAAATTGCACGTCAGAGTATCGGTTTCAGGCATCAGGAACATTTTCACGAGTACTCATGAAAACACTCGGTGTCGGCACTCATGCTGATACCAGTATTGGTGCGTTCCTAGCCAGAACATTAATTTATTTTGGCCAGTGCATTAGTATGCTTATGCATAGACGAGTTCTATGTTTTTTTCTACCCAAAAACCCCTCTCCTGAACGCACTAGTGATCGTTTAACTTCTGCCTGTAAGTTCTCCTCCTCTAGTACGCCTGTGTGTGTGTGTGTGTGTGTGTGTGTGCGTGTGCGTGTGCGCGCGCGCACACACACACACACACACACATTTACAGGCAGGAATAAAAAATGCCCAAACACCTATAAAAGCTGCATGAGCCCTTAAGATTCTAAACGTTCAATGAAAGGAATATTTTGGCTTTAGAGAGAATCACTCACTTTGACAATCCAATGCAAAGGAAAAATATAAACCCCCAAATCTGCTGTTCCCCCACCACTTTGTTGCCAGTACAAAACCAGTTAAAAAAATAAAAATTAAATCAATAAAATACCTCATTCACACAAGCATACTTAAGCATACACCCCGTTTGCCTGCACGAGCTGCACATGTGTTCCGGTGCATCTGCCTGCAGGTCGGTCCCATTCTTGTCAATTGGGGCGCAGTGCTACATGGACATAGCTGCTACTCCCAGTTTGACATCCAGGTGGGTGCGGGTGTATGAGGATGTGCAGACAGTGTGAGTTTGTGGATTCGCACCCACACCGACGTCAAATTGCACACATGCGTCCCAATTGACTTGAATGGGACTGTCTGCATGCAGATGCACGGAACACCTGTGCATCATGTGCAGGCAAACATGGCTCTAACAAGAGTGTATGCTTAATTACACCTGTGTGAACAAGACCTTTGTGTCATGGTGACAAGTTAGCTCATTCTTAAATTTTAAAAAAGAAACAAAAGTAAAATTGGTACTGGAAACTTAAAGTGATGCCAATAGCAGCCAGCTATATTCTGCATATCCATGAAACACGCTGTATTTGCTCTCCTACATGTGTCATATTGCTTGCTATAAACTGATGAGCTGCTTGTCACCATTTTCTCCTCTAATCAGCATTGTTCAGAGTGAACATTGCTAGGTAGATACTGCAATTGGTTCTCTTTTCAATAACAGCAGTCTTAATAGCATTTGCTTTCTAATCTTGCTTCCAGTAAGAAAATGGAGACAGAAATCAGCTCTGGGTGCCCATGGTGAATGGCAGACAGAAGTTGGGGAAACGCCACCACCAGTGGTCGGAGAGTGCTACAAAATGATTTCTTAAAAGAAGACAGTTCCAATGTATGTATGTAGCATAACCGCTGACCTTAATCTTGTCATACTGTTTTAGATGTGTTTGTTTTATTGCAGAATTTCTCAAACTGTTCCTATGTTATTTATGACTTACATTGTGTATTTTCCTATGTAGTTACTATGTGATTTGATGACATGAAAACCACATCCTAAATACTGCTAATTTAAAGTGAACACCCATTTAAATATTTACATATTCTTAATAAGCAGTAAATTGGTTTTTAAAGAAGACCTCACTGACCTTTTTAGCTGCAGATTTTGTTGAACATTTCTTCAGCAGAAGCACTGAAATCTCGATCTCCCAGCAGCTCAGCTTACCCGGCTACTCCTGTCACCCCATATAAATGTCAACAGAGCAGGTGGGGGCTGAATAGGAAGAATGTCAGTGCTTCTGCTGTGAATATTGAAGAAGACATGCTTCACATTGTATGCCCTGTTAAAAGACTCTGCTGTGCCTACAAAACTTTTGCAAATCCTTACTTTTTTTGCAAACTGATTTCTGATTGGGATGGCCTTCACTTTACTGTATCTATCCAGTACAATACCATTGTTAATAGAAAATCTGCAGCGTATGCATCCCCTGATAATCCTCAGTTAAAAAAAACAAAAAGTTCTTCTTGCAGGAGATGGCTGAAATTTGACTTTTATTTCAGTCCTGACTTAAACCAATAAGCCAATCACACAGGCAGGAAATCAGATTTTTGGGGAAATGAAGTACACTACTGTACATAATGCTCCTAGTAATGTATAAAATACTTCCAGTTTTCCATTATGCAAGGAAGTGACATTTGCATTTTTTGGCAGTTTTAGAAAATGTCAGATCAACTTGAAAGGTGAATTTTGTTACTTCTATTTTAAAAAAAGAAAAGACCAAATAAAAGGAAAAAAAAACTTGTGTGACTATTTATATATGTTCTATCAGTTTATTAATAAAAGTTGTTACCTGTTATTGTTGGTATGTTGAGTTAAATTGTCTATTTCATGTATATGTGTCTTTCTTTTTTCCCAGCCTGTTTTTATGCGGAAGGACACCAAAACAAGCTTTCAGTGGAGAATCCGTAATCTGCCTTACCCCAAAGATGTATATAGTGTAACGGTAGACAAGACTGAGCGTTGCTGTATTATACGGACAACCAACAAGAAGTAAGCTGATATACTGCTCACCATAGCCTGATGTATCAATGCGTTTAGTTTTTTTTCTTTCCCCACAGCGAGGAATTGGGTCCAGACTTTTGTGACTGGATAAATCTGATTAGTGGTTCCAGTTCGTAACCCTGACATTCTGATACATGAGGCCCTATATTACTCTTCCCTGCATGTCAGTGTGATATACCTTTTCAAAGGGTCAGAACTGTAATGGATAATTAGAAGTCTTCATGAGTCAATGGTTAGGTGACTTATGCTTAAAATATTGAAGGCCACACTATTGATTTTTCCTGGAAATGTGCCAGTCCCTTTTATTCTATGAATTGGTTGTCTCACACCTGCCTTCTTTGGGTACTAAGAACTATATTACTTTAAATATCTTGTGAGCCAATTTTTTTTTTGTATGCTGAATGCAGTGCAAATTTGGTGAGTAAAATCAAGTAGGAAAACATCGCAGCTGTTGTTAGGTTCAGAAAATTATATATTTTTTAATTATTGTAAATTTTTATTAACGGCCAAAGCCCATTTTTCAAGACAAAGTTACAACAACACTTTAGGTGTAAACATTGCATTAATAGAAAATCACAATCAATATAAAGAAGAACATAAACAAAAGAAATGTGAACGTAAAATAATTAGACAGCATGGTAAAATGTACAATGCATAAGCACAAAACGACATAAACTTGTACATTGTTGGGTTACGTTATTTGTCAGAGGCTTAACAAGTAGAAAGGTGTCTGAGCTATATAAAGGGGGGGGGGGGGAAGTCTACTAAAGAGAGAGTGATCCCATGGTTCCCAAGAAGATCGAAAATGACCTGAGTAATCCCCCACTAGAGCTGTAAGATATTCCATTTCTCTGATGTCAGAGATTGCTCTTGAGAGATGATTTAGTGTGGGGATATCGACTGATTTCCAATGTCGTGGTATCACCCGTGTAGCAGCCGTCAGAATATTTAGTCCCAAAAGGTAGTGTAATGGGTCTAGGGGAAGGTTAACATTGAGCACTTGCTCAAGACCATCTTAACCATGACCCAATAACCCATAATCTGTGGAGAAAACCAAAAAATGTGCGCCAAGGTGCCTACTCCTCCCATGCACCTTCCCGCACCTGTCAGACAGGTTTGGGTTGAACGCATGAAGCACTACAGGGATCTTCTACCAATGCATCAATATCTTATATAGATTTTCTTTGTACACAACGAGAGGTCTTCGTAACAGAGTCCCAAATCATCTGCCAACATTGCAAAGAGATTGGACATTGAAGTTCTTCTTCCTATCTCTTCATATAACAGTGAGGGTTCTCAACAAGGGAACCTGTATTGAGGAGTAGTTTATATAAAGAGGTAATAAGATGTTGTTGGGAGGGACCTTTAGCAGCTATCCTCTCTAAGTCTGTGGGGCGGTCTAGTGTTAGAGAAGAGCAGAAATATTTTAATAATTGGAGCCTGATTGGTCGAGTCAACCCCTAAACCTGCGTCAACGTTCAGCAGAGAGGGACTGGCTGAATATTGATCTGTGTGTGGCTACTGCAGTTGAACAGAAGTTGATCTATCTTTTGACTTCTGTACAGCTGCCCTGTCAGAAGCCACTCAATCTGTGCTGCAGGCAATAGGCTGCAGTACTCATCTGTGTGGGGAACCGCTGATGTATAATGCAGATAGCTCATTATTATAGCACCATTTATTCCAAACTGCATACAGTAATTTCAGACGTTTTTGTTTTATTATTAGTACAGTGTATGTAAACCGTGGCTTCTATTGTGTAGTGTGTAGAGATTTTCCTGCTCTGGAACAACAATCTAAACACCAACAGACTGAGGGTATTCAATACTGGAGCAGGTTAACTGTGCAGTTGACCCTTTATACACACACGTACATGGTGACTGTCCCAACACATGTATTAACAGAAACACCAATTACAGCATCTGCTGTTTTTAAATCTGACCTTAAAAAAAAAAAAAAAAAAAAAAATCATCTGTATTGCTTGCTGTCACGCCCAGCAGGGATGTAATTTATTTAGAGCATTCAGAAATTCATCTTAGCAGTTTTTTTAAATATCCTTTTAATAAACGAAATGAAAAAACAGTGAAAGAAAATAGTTCTTAAAAATTACAAAACACACAAAAGCAACATTAGGGCTAGGTTCATAGTTGGTGGGGGTCAGGAACCCTCAAAAAACGTACATGTTCCCGACCCACAGGCAAAATCCACATGCAGGGGTGCCATTCATTCTTATAGCGCCATTAATTCTTAATGGCACCCCACGTTTGATAACACTCCCAAAATGTATCTTCTCGGATACCCTGCCAGCGCTCTGGCCTCCAGCCCCCTGCCAAGTGCTCCCATAGCAAGCCACTTGCTCTGCGTGCAATGGTGCTTGCTCAGAGGTGGCACTAGAATTCCCAGACAACTGATCTGTGGCAAGCAATAACAACACTGGGTCAGCACAAAGAAAGGGGTTATGGGTGTCATAACCGTGCTCTATATAACCAGAGACTGTACCTCAGCAGCCTTTACAGCACTACAAGTGACGGCTAACATCAGCAATACACTGTCATCAGATTCAACTATTACTGTGCACCTCCTCCCAACTTCTTCTTTTCCTCCAAGTTGTCCCGGTGTGAAACCCACGTCTTTACAAGGTACCTTGGTATGTCTGGAGGGTCCAGTTGGTGAAACCTGGGTGTCATCACAAGGCATATAGTATGGGTTTTGCGCCTAGAAGCACTGTGATGTGGCAATCTCATCCCAGCCTCTCTCATTCCATTCCCATGGAATCTCTATTTAGTCCTTTAGCCCACTGTCATAATGCAGTGCATAGGTGGCTTACCATTTTTATGTCCATACCACTGTCCTTCTCCATGACTGTAACTTTGACTGCATGGCCCACATCCAAAGGTGCTCAGAAAAGCAGAGGGACTGATTCTGTCACTGTGGCTGCAGCGTAGCCATCTCGTTTGTGGTGATGGGAAGCTTCCCTCTCCGGTCGGCGGTCTGCACTCTCCCTCCAGCCTGACACTGTACAGCCTCTGTGTTAAAGGATAAGTTCACCTTTTGACAAAAAAAATTAAATGGACATTTTTTTTTTTGCAGGTAAAAATTTTTTTACAGTTTTACAATTTGTTTTAGGAGCCTGCAAAGCATTGCTGATCATGAGTGCCATGCAGGTCTTCTGCAGACTGTCAGTGTAATCTGTCTGCTTGTACCTTGTATGGGCAAGTAGTTTTACAGTGACAGGAAGAATCATCAACAGCACCATGTTAGTTCATTGAGAACTACAAGCTGACAGCTCAAAGGCTGTTGGGACTTTTGGTTTCCAATTCACAGAACTCTGTGAATGAATGACACGGCCAGGCACAGCTGCATTTATTATTTATTTTTATTTATTAGAGCTATCGGGGGGGGGGGGGGGGGATCCCATGCTAGCTGTTACAATGGGGAATTGGGAGGGTGGGTGTGGGGGCCGGTCTACAGTAAAGTGTTTCACCCTGAATGTGAATATAACCTAACGTGTTATGAAAAGTGAACTTGTCCTTTTTACAGCTGTACACATAAGAAAATTGTATGAAAATTTTCTGTACGAGGAAGGATCAGTCAATTATCTATTTGTTATTATAGTGCTCACAACATCAGATTTTCATTCAATGTGTACAGTAATAGTATGGAAAATATCAATTCGAAAAGTACATTCATGATCAAGAGCAACGTATGACCATACACTTTCTCTTCTACTATGCTAGTAGCTTGCCTACGCTTGCCTTTGTCAGTCAAGAATTTTCATACAAGTTTATACCATTCTCGGTTACATCATGATATGCACCTTTGTGGAAAATCTGACAATTGTTCATCTGATTTTCCCAAGTCATCTTCCAGGACAGCTTCACATGAGAGAGGGGCTCCTCTCACCAGGAAACACCTGATCCACATTTCTTTAATAAATAGCCTCTCCATCCTTTGGGTCCTCAGTGTTGGTGTTTCCTCTGGCAAGTACAGACACTTACCCCCATTTTTTGTTATTTTGGTCAGGCTGTCTGGCGGGGTACAGAGGTCTCCTGGATGCAGCTACCCTTTTACCAAGCAACGCAGGGGACTTTCCTGTTGGCTTCATTCAGAACTAGGGACTTATTCCCTAGGGACTTATTCCCAATAACTGAGTAAGAATTGGAGGAGGCAGAACTCCTTATTTTGCAAATGTCGGGCTAGGACAGGGGGCAGAGACCTACACACATGACCGGGTGATCACAACCCTTTGGGGCAAGCAGCTTACCTGCTTTTTGGCACATTTTTGCTGGATGGAAGCTAAAATGAGTGGGAAATTTGAGTGGAGAGTGAAAAACAGTTTTGCTTTTGACTGCTGGTGATTACTGGTGCTTGTAGTTGTTTTGTTTTCTTTGGGGTCTCGCTAGCAGCTTTTACTTTTTTAAATTCCCTTTTCTGGCACTTTTTAAATAGCATTTTTTCTATTAAAAAAAAACAAAAAACAGCTACCCTCAGGTAAGCTTGGGGACTTTTGGCTCCCTCTTGCTGATTCCTGGGGGTGATCTTTTCTCCCAGTCTCTGAGTCTCAGGTGATGGTGGGGCACACTCCCGTTTTCTCCCCCAGCACAGTGGTGTTTGGAACGAAGAGCCCGGAATGATTATATCTTCTGTGTTGTTTTTCTGCTTGTTGTAGGTTAAAACCCAGGACAAGACACCGAATCAGGCCCCCAACAGGAAATGTGCAGTTTGTGTGGGAAAATTGGGTTCAGCTTGGGAAAAGCCCTTGTGCCGCAATTGTGTGGATAGTCTAATTAAGGATGAGTCATTTTACAGCCAGCCATAGGGTTCTCACCTCCATTAAAGATGACATGACGACTACATTTCAGTCATTTAGATCCCTGCTGGATAGAAGGCAGACTCTGCTGGGGCCTTGGACCCAGTCTGCGGGAACTGCGGTATTGGAGGCATTGAGAAGGGAGGAGAACCCAGAAGAAGATCCTAGGTCCCTTGTTTCC